AGTGTGCTGTTTTCTCATGTGGATAGTTTTATAGGGTCATGTATTGTGCAGTTCACTCTGAGAACCCTAAGGCCCTCACTAGGGGAATGCCTTCCTTAAGAGGTCCCAGGTGCTAGTGTGGTGCTGATCCACCCTAGGTCCTGGTCTTAAGAGTCCAGGTCTGCTGGCTGGGCCTCCACGCCACTCATATGGCCTGTGTGTCTTCAGGGCAGCACTCTCTGCCCTTCACCTCCACCTTATTTCTCTCACCACCTTCTTACCACTCCATTGCATCCTTTGCCTTGGTTAAGCAGTTTGTTACCAGGATCTTGCTACAGGGTAGAGTTGAGCAGCAATTCTTCCTGACACTCCCCAGCCCCAGGGGAAAAGTGGCCTTAGAGAGAAGGGTGAATATGGCTGGGTGTTGGGGGTTGGCAAATGGGTTGGAGTAGCTGCTCTGCTGCATTTTACCAGAGCAGGCTTCTCCTGCCTTCCCATATGGGTGGTATGTCACCATTCTGCAAGGTCAGAATTTGTACTTGAACCTAAGACTTCCAACTTCAAATCCTGTCTTTTTCATCCATCTCAGAAAATGTTTTATGAAACAGTCACTGTACCAGAAAGGGGCCTAGAATGAAGTGGAGAGATGTCTTGAGTCCTCCACTGGGGGATTGGGGAATAGTAAGAATTGCCACTGGGTTCTGGACCTCAATGGATTCAATAATCAGGTGAGGCCTAATGACACTGAAGAGCTAGGCACGGTTCCCCCAGGGCTCCAGACCAAGTGATTGGTCTCAGTCCCTTGTTAGCTCCAGGGTCCAGGGTATGCATCTGTACACTGCCTCTCTCTCCAGGTTACTTGAGACTTAAGTATAGCTATTGCAGAAGTGTTTAATACAGTTAAAACACGGCACACATACACGTTCCGGTTGGGACCTTGGGGGCAGTGCTATGTGGAGGTTAGGGACCTAGGTGGATTGTGCTGGGGTCATGTTGTGGCCATCGGATCTTCAGCCTGCTAACGAGCGAGCAGTGAGGCCAGTACAGAGGCGTGCTTTAGCTTCATTACCATCTCTGGGAGAATACGGAGAAACCTCAAGTGAACAGAAGAACAGAACAGGCATTCATTGAACTTCCATGTTAACTGCAGTATAACTGGAATCTCCTTGTTTCAAATGTCCTCTCTCTCTCTGCCTAACTCTCCCTCTCCACCCCCACCCCCCCGCCATATTTAATAATACCATCTTTTACTGTCTTGGCTCGTCTTTTGCACCCACACTCATGGCATTTTGGATGGTGTCAGTGGGGAGGACAGGCTAGGAAGGCATTGTTTTATGTTTGCATTTGTGTCCAAGCTTGCACTTACAGCAAAACCTTTCCCTTCCTGTGAATTACTTCTTTTGTCTCCAAGTGAAGAACAATTCGAAACCTCTGTTCATTGAAGCTTTGTAGACTTGTGTAAATAGTGAAATCAGTATTTTAATTCAAAGTATTGTCCTCAGTTTGAGAGACTGACTTCATTGATTATCACCGATATATTTACCAAGGCCTGACCAACAGTGGTCTAGTCAGTAGACAGCTGTTTTTTTCAGGAAGAAACCCTTAAGTTGTTGAGGTCAGTAGACATCATGTACAAAAATAAATATAACTTTTATTACTTGCTTTGTGGGGGTTGGTACTGGGGTTTGAATTCAAGGCTTCACTCTTGCCAGGCCAGCGCTCTACCACTTGCCACTCTACCAGCCCAGCTATTTTATTAGTGATCCTCACTTTTGTCTTCAGTCTCTACACCTCCCTTTTAGGGGGCAGGCTTCTGAAGAAATGTGTAAGTAGGATGTGCAGGCTATTCCTGTGTGTTTCCATTGCTAGTTTTGTACATGTGTCCCTTATTCCCCTAAACCAAACTGTGGTCTACGAATACATACTGATCACCCAGGATGTGCCAGGCCCTGTGCTACATTTCTAGGAAAACCAGAATCAGTTAATCCAGGTCTCTGTTTTCAAAGAGCTTGTAGTCTAAAGAGAAGACAAAAATGTAATCTAAATAAAACAACAAAAATGCTGTGGTATGACTGGGGGTATACCTCAGTGACAGAGCTTGTCCAGCATGCTCAAGAACCTGGATTTCATCCCCAGTACTGAAAGAGACGCAGACAGACAGACATGCCTAAGATTACTTGTAGGTGCATGGTAGGAAAGTAACACCAGAGAGGGAAAACTGAAATGAGCTCAAGGGTGGTTTTACAGAGTAGGTAATGTTAAATTAGGGTTTTGAAGGATGAGCAAAAGGTCTCCAACGTAAGTAAGGTAGAGTTAAGGTGGTCAACCAGTGCATAGCTATGTCTTACGAGCCTTAGGAAGCTCTTCATTTAGTAGCTCAGGTCTGAAAGTACTTCTGTTTCTCGTAACTCACCCTCTACCCACCAGCCTACAAGGCAGGCTGCTTTACACTTGAGGGGTATTTCTGCCTTCTAGCAGAAGGTCCCCAAGACTGTTGCTTTTCATCTGTTGCTTCTTAGCAAAGCAGCACTTAGCATTTTACTACTTTGTAAAGCCTGGCATCTTATTGAAATATGATTTTCTTACTTTCTGCTCCCTGGGTTTCCCCAGGCAGAACAACTAGGTGAGGCCCTTGCTTTTATCCTGGGCGGCCATCTAGGCCTGTTTCTTCCACCTTCTAGTCCTGATTGTCTGTTCTGGCCCCTACCCCTTTGCCTTCCCAAACCCCCCTCCAGGTCAGTGGACACACTGAGCTGTGCCAGCGGCCTGTGTAGAGTTACTGCCCACTTCTCTGTTCAGGCACATTGGGAGATGGGCACAGATGATGGGGTTTGGCTGTTTGGTTAGAGTTGGTTTGTGTCCAGGGGCCACAGTCTTAGAAATGATGGGAAGCCACCTTTGCACTCACCAAATGCTCACTGTAGGTAGGCCAGGCCAGGCCAGGCAGTATGCAGAACTCTTCCTGAGGACCCCAGAGGTAAGTATTCCAAATTTCAGATGAGAAAACTAGAGCACAAAAAGATTGAGTGATTTGCCTGAGGTCACACAGCTAGTAAATGGGAGCTGGGAAGTGGGACTAGAGTTCAAATCCAGCTCTGTCACTGAGCAGAGTAACAGAGGTGGTAGTCTCTGAGCTCCAGGTTCAGTCCCAGCTATTGTCTGACAGCCCCCAAACTCCTTTCCTAGCCATCTTTTCCCCATTGCTGCTTCAGTTCTCATTCCCTAACTAACTGCTTCAGTGTCATCTCCCCCTTCTGTTCACTCACCGTTTTACCACCGATTGATCTTTCTAATAAACAGATCTGGCCATCTTCCCTTAAGACCCTCTGCGGCTCCCTCGCCCCTGCAGGAGAGCAGTCACATACAGTTACCACCTCTGATGTGGCTGCTGCCTTCTGTGGCACTGCCCTCTGTATACCTGGGCCGTCCCTGGGCTCTGTCCCATCCCTTCCCCTATTCTGCCCACCCCAGGACCTCGGGATGTCGCTGAGCTGCAGCTGGGAACCCTCCTGAAACCTCCCAGGGGAGCTTACAGCATTTGCTGCTCATTTCTGCATCTTGAAGGATGTGTGCTCACCAGGCACCCTTCCCCAAACCAGACCTGTGCTTGACTAGGCAGGGCCCACAGCTGGGCACTCGACAGGGCCAGCATCTAGTTGTCTTGTCTCCTCATGAAGTGTACATTACTGTGGTCTCAGTGAAGTGCAGTGACACAGAGCCCAGGGCATTCAGCACAAGCCTTAGTTTGGTCCTGGATTTGGGGTCCTGAGGGTAGAAGCAAAGGCAGCAATGGCTTCTCTAAGAAAGTGACACCTAGGCTGAGGCCTGGGGGGAGAGAGGTACAGAGCCAAGATGAGGCATTCTAGAATGTGGCACACATGAGCAGCTGCAGAGTCTAGAAGGAAGACCAGGGAAGGAAGGCCTGTGTGAACAGGATAGAGGGAGGTAGTCTGGTTTTCTGGGTGATGGCATGGACCTTGCAGGAAGCCATTTCAACATTCTAAGCAGGGAAGGGACATTCAAAAATCCATTCTGGTTACGGTGAGAAATAGGACTGGCAGGAGGCCAGAGTGCAGGTGTGGAGGCTGGTGTTGGCAGTGCAACTATGAGAATGTCACAGCCTGCCCAGGACCTTAGGAGTCAACAGAGAAGGCCAAGGAGGCCCTGGCATATGCAGGTGGTGCCAGGTGACTTAGGACTCAGTAAATGTGTGGGTGCTGGCAGGCCCACTGACTGGACCTTGGTCCCCTTCCCATGGTCCCTTCAATAAGGATCTGCCCCACAGGGCCCAGATAGGGCTTGCTGATGAGCTGGCTCCCTTGGAATGCCTCTGCTTCAGAACACAATGTAAAATTCCTCCAGCTTTTCAGATGTAAGCTGTTCTTTGCCCAGAGATAAGAGTTCATCGTCAGCTGGACATAGTGGCTCACGTCTGTAATCCTAGCTACTTGGGAGGCAGAGATTGGGAGGATTTCAGTTTGATGCCAGCCCATACAAACAGTTAATGATACCCCATTTCAACCAATAATTGGGCATGGTGGCACACTGTCATCCCAGCTATGCTGGAAAGCCTAAATAGGATTGCAGTCAAGACCAGCTTGGGCAGCAAGTCCCTGAGTGCAAACCCCCCAATACCACTTCAAAAAAAAAAGAAAGAAAAGAATGAAAGAAGTTAATTGTAAGGTTTTATCATCCTTATCAGTGCTTCCACAGCTGACTGCGATCATTAAAATGTCTGCGAATAAGCATAGGTGCAGATCTTACGCATATGAATCACATTTAAAACGTGACTAGGTAGAGATGTTAGAAGTTACTGAGTTGTCTAAAGGCATCAGCTACTTTTTAAATCTATGTCTGGTTGAAGTTTGACCTGTAAGGCTTTGTGAGATGCCCTCCATGGACACCAGCCCTGGGGAGCATATCCCACAAGTTTTTAGTCACAATTTGTCTGTTGGTAGTTTAACCACTTAGGTAAACAGAATATTGGCTTTGATATGTGATTAGAAAATTTTTTTTTGTAGGCTTTACCACCAGCACCTGTTCAGAATCACACAGATAAGCATCAGGTGTTCAGTGCATCTCTTCAAGACCATATTTATCCGAGCTGTTTTGGGAATGCTCCAGAGTGGACTAGTTCTAAATTTTTAAGTCTTTGGGAATCAGAAGTGATGAATGATAAGAACTGGAATCCTGGCACTTTCTTGCCAGATACAATTTCTGGTAAGGAATTTGTTAAAATTTCTTAAGATTTTAAATAACCCAAGCGAGTAGATTGTCATCATTGTTGTGCTCCACGAAGGCCCAAGGGCAGCCTCTTCCCTGGCAGGAGGCCCTGGACCTGTCATCCCACCACTGTGGCTGAGCAGAGCCGCATGGCACTGCCCCTGCTGCTGAGGGTTTAGTTCTGGAGCAGTGATGACCACCAGGTCCCCGCCTACTTCACTGGAGCAAGGAGACAGTGCCGCGGTCTGCTCAAATGCTGTGACTCACGTTCCTTTCCTCTGGTTTCCTTGTTGACCCTACATGGGCTCTCTCCCCTCTAACAAGCTCCTTCCTCCCCAGCTGCCTCAGCTGCTGAGGCTCAGCTGTTACTTCAGCTGCAGGGCCAGGGGGCACCTCTCTGTCTTCATGTGGCTAGAGCTCCTGGTAGCCCCACACCCTGCCCTGCATGTGCTCAGAACAGAAGCTAGACTTGACATCCTGCTCTGTGCTTCAAAAGGGTTTCTAGCTGTGTGGCCCTAGGCAGGTTGCTTAGCCTCTCTGAGCCTCAGTTTCTTCATCTTTAGGATGGGAATCACAGTACCAACCTCAGAAAGTGGTTTTAAGACATTGAATAGCACAGGCATTGGCATATAGCAGGTGCTGAGTAAGCTTTTTCCTTCTAATGAAAGCACATCCCGAGAAGCCCTGATCTTAGTACCAACCCTGGTTTCAAGAGCTTAGGCATCAGCATGTCTTTCGGGGGCTTTGCTTATAAATAACTGTGCTGAGAAGCCTTAACTTTCCCATTCTTCTCCAAAGGGAGTGACATTTTAGGGCCAGCACTCTCAGAAACAAGACCTGAAGCTCTTCCACCTCCACCTAGCAACGAACCACCTGTGGCTTCCGATAGCAAAGAGAAAAAAAATGTCACAAAAAAGAAATGTTTGTACAATTTCCAAGATGCTTTTATGGAAGCCAATGAAGTTGCCATGACAAACACAGTCGCCATGGCCACCTCCTCAGCCACATCCTCAGTGTCGTGTACAGCCACCACAGTGCAGTCCAGCAGCAGCCAGTTCAAGGTGTCCTCCAGGAGGCCGCCTTCCGTAGGTAAGACCCTTAGCCTCTGGGACTCCAGAGCCGCTCAACTTGCTCACGCCTTCCACTGACTGGAAGAAGCTCAATGAGTGACAGAACACACATGCAGAAGATCGTGCCCTTTGGGCTGTGGTGGGAATTTTAGCTGTTACTCTGAATGCCTGAGTCACGTCACTCTGTCTGGCCTCCACCCTCTGTACCTGTTGTTCTGTGATGGGAAGAGATCATTGCCTTCTGAGTATGGGGCAGGATTCCCCCAGAAGCTGCTTTAGGACAATGCTGAACAAAAGAAAGCAGGTGTGAGCCAACGGTGCTGCCTGTCCCTTGGCCTGCTGTCACTCAGATTGATCTGCTTACCAACAGTAAGAGGGACCTGAAAGCAAGGAAACTATTAAAGGCCCAGGGCAAATATCAAAGGGACATGGGAACTGGCTTGCTTGCAGGGGCCTGGCCAGCCAAAGTGAATACAATTAAAGCATCCAAAAAAATTGTGAGCTGGCAGAGTGGCTCAAGTGGTAGAGCGCCTGCCTAGTAAGTTTGAGGCCCTGAGTTCAAATTCCTGTGCCACCAAAAAAAAAGGAGTAGCAATAGATCTGCTTACTGAAGTTGGGGAAAAAGAGCATTATGATGGATTCTAGCACTCAAAAGTCAGGAATCCCTAGGGATGCTCAAAACAGTAGGGTGGGGACGCTCTTGCAGAATCATGCTGCTACTACATGTGTACAAAGGCTAGAAAAAGAAAGTCACAGTGCCCCAGTCAGCAGTGCAGTGACTCATTCAGGTCAGCATCGTCAGGGAGCATTAAGAACATTGCGTATCACTGCCCAAAAGTAGCATCCACCGGGACTGACCCATTAAGGAGGGATGTGGGTGCCCCCACATCCCCTCCACCCCTTCCCACCCCGCACCTTCCAAAAGAAGCTGGCAGCCCTGCACCTGACACTGCATGGAGCAGGTGCTTCCTGTTGCCATGAAATAGAAAGGGTCTGACTTACCTTTGCAGGATTCGCGCCTAAAACATTTCACCCAGATTTAATGAAACAAGATAGATCCAGATTGGCAGACAGCTGGCCTCTTCAAAAATGTATGTCATGACAGTGAAAGGAAAAAAGTTTAGGAGAGGCCAGATTGCAAGGAACGCTAGGAAGGTCTTGGATGCAGGGGGCCCATGAGGGACAAGAGCACTGTCATGGTCCTGGTGCCTGAGTATGCATGTGGGGGAGGGGCTCAGAGCACCCGAGTTCTCGGAGCTCAAGTGAAAGCACCAGGCACACCCAGCCTACTCCAAATGTTAGGCCCAAACCAAACCAAGTGTGTGTGTGGGAATAAAGTCAGTGTGACAAATGTACTGAAGGGTGAATGGGTACTCTGTACTGTTCCTTCAGATTTATTCCAGGTCTGAACATTTCAAATCAAAAAATTGGCAGAAAGATGTCATTGAAGGAAACACAAGTGTCTGTGCTTTCTTCAGCCGTTGCATCTCTACATGCAGGTGACGTCTTTCACGGCCTCAACAAGGAGGACCACAGACACTCGGCACCTGCCGCCCCAAGGAACAGCCCCACAGGCCTGGCCCCCCTCCCAGCCCTCTCTCCTGTCGCGCTCTCCCCAGCCTCCACACCTCACCTTGCAAATCTTGCAGCCCCATCATTCCCCAAAACTGCAACCACAGCTCCTGGGTTTGTGGATTCACGCAAGAGCTTCTGTCCTGCCCCTGTGGCTCCCCCACCCTCCACCACAGACGGCTCCGTTAGTGCCCCACCCAGCGTCTGCAGGTGAGCTGTGGGCACCCAGGTCCCTTTGGGAAGGACTGGGAGCACTTTGGAAACTGTAGACTGTGCTCTGGGTCCATGCAGTTGAAAAGTCCAGTGAAGGGCAGAAGGAACACAGGGACCTCCCACCAGAGGCCATGGGGAGGACTCCCATCTCAGCCTCTAGTATTGTGGCGGAAGACTAGAGGCCCTGACCCCATGGGCTGGTGGGGCACATGCCACTGTGCCCAGCCATTGGTTAAAAGACTGTTTCTGTTACCTTTGAACTTGAGGCTATTTCCTCCCACCCCCCAGTGGAGAAACAGTGTGGCAGGAACAGGCAAGACAGCCAGAGGGGACATTGGGGAGGACATGTGTGCCTGTTTGGTAGCACTGTGTGACCACTGCACGTGTGCGTGCCATACCTCTTGCCTGAGCCTCGTCTCTGCACCGTCTTTGCTGACTACACAGACACTCTGTGACCCTGGGGCCGTGCGCCCTGCTTGCTGCTGCTTTATGTGAAGTGCACAGAAGAGCGGGTGGGCATGAGGATCAATGTGCAATCAGTGTTTTCAGGGGAGGCCTGCTTGCTAATGGGCTGTGTGGGGTTTTGTAGTGACCCGGACTGCGAAGGCCACCGCTGCGAGAATGGTGTCTATGACCCCCAGCAGGACGATGGGGATGAGAGCGCAGATGAGGATAGCTGCTCTGAGCACAGCTCCAGCACCTCAACCTCCACCAACCAGAAGGAGGGTAAATACTGTGACTGCTGCTACTGTGAGTTCTTCGGACATGGCGGGGTAAGTGCGTGCAGCTGTGACGCCAGGACCTGAGAAGTGTGCAACCTGGCAGCTCTTTGGCAGGATTTGTGCACTATTTAACAACCACAACAAAAAAGATTACCCATATTTTACCAGGTTTCACAGTTATATGTAATTTGAGGGGTAGATGCCAAAGTGTGTTAGGCTGCTTGTGACAGCTTTGTCTTTTTCTGCCGTTCGATTATGTCTTTCTTCCTTATTTTTCACAATGCTCATGTGCTACTTAAATATTTTTAAACGGGGTATTTCTAGAGATAAGTTCTGAAATTTATTTCATCTAAAACTGTGAAAATTTTAAGCTTAATTTAGTTGTGTTCTTACTTATAGCCTCCAGCTGCACCAACAAGTAGAAATTATGCAGAAATGAGGGAAAAGCTTCGCTTACGTCTGACCAAGAGGAAAGAAGAGCAACCTAAAAAAATGGATCAAATCTCAGAACGGGAAAGTGTTGTTGACCATCGCAGAGTAGAAGACCTTCTGCAGTTTATAAACAGCTCAGAGACCAAGCCAGTAAGCAGTACTCGGGCAGCCAAACGAGCGAGGCACAAGCAGAGAAAGGCAAGTGGTGGCTGTGTGCCGGGGCACTGTGCCATGTGGGCTCCAGGCATGAAGCGGCACTCATAGTAGCTGAGGCTTGGGAGCTTGTGGCTGCACCTGCCCTGCTGCTTCAAGAACCTTTGTCTATGGTGACCTTAACCGGAAGCTGGTTAAAACCTCACTTTGTATCATCAAGAAACCACTTGCCCCTTGAGATGTGGGTTTATAGTACCTCACTCAAGGCTGCAGGTCCTGCGCTGACCATCCTGGGACAGCAGACCCTGTACAGCTGTCTGTGGGAAAATTCCTTCCCAGCACAGCAGAGGAGAGGTCCTTGAGGGTGGAGAGAAGAGTAAGGCCTCCGTGGGCTTTTGAAACCTGTAATGAAAAAGTGCCTTTAGTAGGAGACGGGCAGGACCCCGGCCAGTGGAACCTCCAGACCCAGGACCGAGCAGCCCCTCCCACACTCCTTTCCTCCTGATCCACTGGACAGTCCCATTGAGGGCCAGCCCAACATCAACATAAACGTAAAGGGTGGAAGAGTGACGCAATGGGCTCTGATGGGAAGCTCAGGGATGGGTAACAAGGAGGCTTGCCTGTGGCCTCGTGAATGAGCCGGAACCAGAGACTGTGCTGCAGTGCATGAGAAGTGATAAGCAAATACGTGTGTGTGGTATGCAATGTGCAGCTGATGTAGCGAAAAGATTGAAGCTTGCAAAGACCATTGTGTTTTCCCAGGCAAAATGTCTTTGCCGAAGTTTCTTATAAGCACTAGCCTTTTGGAGCTCAGTTGTAGAAGGAGCCGTACCTCTTACTCTTTTTTTTTTTTTTTTTTTTAATGGACAACTCCACAGTAGATTCTGTTGCCGGTGGGATTTTTTGTTCGTTGTTTTCTTTTTTTTGTTTGAGACAGGCTGGCCTCAGACTTCAGTCCTCATGTCTCAAGCTCACAAATGCTGGAGCCTCTTAGTCCTAATAGCTTTTATCTGTTTCTAAACAGTAAGAATAGGTTTCTGTTCACACCCTGGAACATGTATCACTTGAGATAAAACTAATTTCATATCAAGTTGAACAACAGAAATACACCGGTGTCTTACTTGGCATCTATACTGATTATCTCCAAAAGCCATTTGCTCTGTCACACTCGTGACAATATGCTGGGATTGCCGGTCATCTGCCAGGGCAGGGGGAGGGAGTCCCTCATTTTTTGGACACATTCTGTGCATTGCATGCATCAGCATCAGCCCTCGCCACAAGTCAGCTTGCCGAGAGCTCGGTCAGCCCGTTGAGGCCTCTTCACCCCAGGGCCCATCTGTGCCTTAGTTTTGTTATAACCTAGCCATTTGGCCAGTTTCTTGCCACACATGTGGGAGGGCAGCCAGCATCCTGCACAGCAACTCTGGGTCAAAGACTTACCCCTGGTAAAGTAAGAATATGCCTTGGTAGATGGATGAAGTCTTAATAATTCTGCTGGGTGAAATAATTAATGGTAGGTGTATGTTAAGTTTTCAGCTTACTACTGCTTCTTTAAAAGTTTATGTGTCATATGGAATCATCTTTAAAATTGTTTTAGTTTTCTGTAGATCTGGTCTCAAGCCACCTTCTCTTTTCACATTGGCAGCTGGAGGAGAAGGCACGCCTGGAAGCTGAGGCCAGGGCACGGGAGCACCTGCATCTCCCGGAGGAGCCAAGGCGGCGGGAGGAGGAGGACGAGGAGGAGGAGGACGAAGAAGAGCATTTCAAGGAGGGATTTCAGCGGCTTCAGGAGCTTCAGAAGCTAAGAGCTGTAAAAAAGAAGAAGAAGGAGAGGCCTAGTAAAGACTGTCCCAAGTTGGACATGCTTACTAGAAATTTCCAGACAGTGACAGAGTCTGTCCCTAATTCTGAAAACATCCACAATGGCTCACTAGAGCAAACTGAAGAACCAGAAACCTCATCTCACTCCCCTTCCAGACACATGAACCACTTAGAGCCCAGGCCAGGGCCAGGAGCTGCCGGATATGCTGTTGACTCCATGGACCCCAGAGACTCCAAACTTCTGCTCCCCAAGGAGGTCAATGGGAAGCAACATGAGCCCCTCGCTTTTCTCCTTGACATGATGCACCACCACAAGGAGGGGAGTGGGAAGCAGAAGCTAAAGCAGCCCGCTAAGGCTAGCAGCGAGCCAACCAGGAAGCCTGCAGAGTCGCCCAGAGCCACGGAGGGGCAGCCCAAGCCCAGGCTGCAGACTGAGTCAAAGGCTAAAGTGGTCGACTTCACGCCCCTCTCAGAGCAGAAGAGAGAGGAGAGGAAAGTCAACAGTAACAACAATAACAAAAAGCAGCTGAACCACATTAGGGAGGAGAAATCAAACCCTGTCCCTCTGGAGCCACCCTCTCCTGTCCAGCCTCAGCAGAACGGCCGGCTGATTCTGGCCGATTCTCCTCAGCCAAAGGGCAAGAACAAGAAAAGCAAGAAGAAGAAAGGAGACAGAGCCAGCAGTTCAATTGGTAAATACAGGGTGGGTGGGGGTTGGGGGGCTTGCCTGTCCCTGCTGATTGTGTGTGATGGTGCCAGGGAAGCCCTTGCTGCGCAGGGGTGCTGCTCTCTGCCCTGTGGCACCATCTGTGACTTTCTCACCAGTAGTGAGAGGCAAATGCCATGGTGTTACATTTTGTTATTTTGAAATAATTTGAGACTTTCAAAAAACTATAAGAGGAGTACACAACTTATTTTCAGAATAGTTTTGATCCCTGGTTGGATCACAGGTATGGTGCCTGTGCTGTCCCAGCACTGGCGATATCAGTATAGCCCTGGGTTGAGGTGGTGTCCCAGTTCTCTCCAGTGCCACGGCATGGGTTCTTTTTGTGACCATCTCCCCGTGGGTGTGAGGCTCTGATGACAGAAACCTGGGTCCGACTTGTGCAGTGCTAGAACACAGATCTGCCTGCCCCACCACTATGGAAAACCATGAGCTCACTTGCTTTTACTTGAAAAGTAAAAGGCATTTCCTTTTGCCCTTTGCTTTTTTCTTTTTTTTTAAATTTGTTCTGGGAAGCACTTCATGCCAGTTCATAGAGATCCATCTCATTCTTTTAGAGCTGAACAGCACAAGTTTTTCACCACTGCACCATGCACCAGCACTTAGTTAGGGTGTCTCCACTGCTTTGTAATGGCAGAAAGCCCTGTGGGGTTGGGATGTTTCTTCAGAGGAGAAAGTAAGTGGGTTGGCAGATTACCTGGGCACCTCAAGTTCTCCCTTAGCCTTCCTATCTCGCCCCCAGCAGCAGCTGAGCACTGTTTTGCCACAGCTGGGCCCCCAGAGTACACTGTCATGTTTTTTAACTTTTACCAATCCATTAACTCAAATCATTCTTCAGTGTAGTTTTCATTAGCATTTTCATCAAATTACAGTGAGTGGCAGTACTGAGGTTTGAACTTAGGGCCTCGCACTTGCTAGGAAGACACTCTACCACCTGAGCCACACCTCCAGTCTACTTTGCTGTGGTTATTTTGGACATGCAGTCTCCCAAACTATTTGCCTGGGTTAACCTTGAACCCCTATCCTCCTGCTTTCAGCCTCCAAGTAGCTAGGATTGCAGGCATGAGCCACTGGTGCCCAACTACCAGCCCTTTTTAGTTTTAGTTACTTTTGCCAAACCATCCTGGATCATGATCCTCCTGCTTACACCTCCCATGTAGCTGGAATGACTGGTGCACACCACCATGCCCAGCTTTACTGGCTGAGGTTGGGTCTTGCTTTTCTTTTTGCTCTGGCTGGCCTTGAACCCTAATCCTCTTAATCACCTGGGATTATAGGCATGAGTCTGCACCCAGTTAGGTCAACACATTTTTAAGGGCAGTTTCCTTATCTTTTATGAATTTTCTGTTCACACCTTTTTCTCATTTTTTTTTATTACAGTTTTGCTATTTCTTCTATTTTTAAGAATTCTTTATAAACTAGGGAGCTGAGTGCCAGTAGCTCACATCTGTAATCCTAGCTACTTGGGAGGCAGAAATCAGGAGGATTGTGGTTTGAAGCTAGTCTGGGCAAATAGTTTGTGAGACCGTATGTCAAAAAAATGCATCACCAAAATGGGCTGGTGGAATGGCTCAAGGTGTTGGCCCTGAGTTCAAACCTTAATGCTGCAAAAAAAAAAAAAAAAAAAACAAAAAAAACCTTTATGTATGAGGGATATTGGCCTTGCAAACATTTTCTCCCAACTTGTAAGTTGTCTTATGACTTTGTTTTCAGCCATGTGGAAGTTTTCTATTTTGCTTCTATGTGGTCATCTTATCAATCCTTTATTGCCTTTGGAGTTTGACTAATTGTTAGAAGGCTTTTACCCTAACACCAGCATTAAAAAGAAATGCATGTACCCTGCTTCCTTCTGGTGTTTGTGTGTGGTTTCTTTTCTTTTTTTTTTTTTGCCACACTGGTTTTATTTCTTTTTCTTCTCTTTTCTCCCTATTTAGATATTTGATTCATTTGGATTTTATTCTGTTTTTTTTTGTTTTGTTTTGGTGGCACTGGGGTTTGAACTTGGGACTTCATGCCTACTGTGCAGGTGCTCTACCACTTGAGCCACTCTGCCAGTCCTAGAATTTACTCTAGTGTGTGGAATGAGATGTAGATCCAAGTTTATCTCTTCCAAATGAACAGCAGCTACTAAAAAGTCCATCCCGTCTATGTGCCTCTGCCGTCTTTGTCCTGCCTTCATTTCCACATGTGATCACTTCTGTTTCTGCACCTTGTATCCTTTTCCCCTCTCCTTAGTTCGGTGGCATTTTGCACCAAGTGAGTTGTTTTTGGGAGCTCTTTATTTTAAATGTCATTCTGTAGCCAGCAGCTACACTTCACTACTGAGCACTTGAAGAGCAGCTTGTCCAAATCGACAGATATGCTAAGTATAAAGCCCACGCTGGGTTTTGAAAGCCAAGCATAAAAACTGAATGAAATCTCCTGATGTGCTTTCTTTCCTTCTTTCTCTTTGTGGTGCTAGGGTGGAGCCCAGCCATGTGCCTAGCAAGTGCTGCTCTACTGCTAGCTGCATCCTGGCCTCAGTATAGCTTTGGTTGCCTGTATGTTGAGACAATACTTAGATGTGCTTTACCAAGTGATGACAAATTAATTTCACCTCTCTTTTTAATTTTTTTCAATATGGCTACTAAAAAAATTTTATATATGGGGTTGGGACTGGTTTCTGTTGGGCCTCGCTGCCTGACTGGTGGTGTGTGTATGTGGAAGCTGTTGATTTCCATGTTGTTAACTTTGCATCCTCTGCTTTACTGGCTTGCTTTATTGTCTGAGTGCTGTCGATGGCCTCAGGGTTCCAAGTTGGTCACATATCGGCAGATAGAGGAGGCTACTTTTGTTCCTCTAGCTCTTATGCCTCCCCTGCTTTTTTCTCGTCTAGCTGCATCCTTCCTGTCATAACAAAATATATCCAGTGTCTCTCTCCATGTTAAGTAAGATGTTGGCGAAAGGCTAAGGTCTATATTTTATCATGTGGGAAAGTATCCAGCAACTCTGCGTTGCTTAAGTGTGTCCATGAGGAATGGTGTTGAATTTTATCTAAGGATTTCTAGCATCTGTGGACACACGGTTTTTCTTCTCAGGCCTGTTTGCATGGTATACTATATTACTCACTTCCACCACTGAACCAACCATGGACTCCTGTAATAAGGGCTCATTTGCTTGCGGTAAATTTTACTCCTCATTTGAGGTTCTGATTGCCATTTTAGTTCATATTCTACGTCCATATATGTGGCAGGTATGGATCTGTAACTTTTCTTTTGTTCTCTCTTTTTTTGGTACTTGACTGTATTGGTTCTGTGTATCAGTATTATACTTGCCTCATGAAAAAGAAGTTTTTGGCTTTTCTCATTTTCACTGTGAAACAGCGTGTCCTGCATTGGGACTGAAGTGTGGTGAATTCTCTGTTGGCATCCAGCCCTCGTCCTTTTTGTGCAATATTTTCTCAACAGCTATCTGCATGGAAATTGGTGTGATATTTCTGTATGTAATGAGGTTAATTTTGGAAAACTGCCTTATCTTAGTAAACTTTCCTTTTTATTTTACAGTACTGGGGTTTGAACTCAGGGCCTACACCTTGAGCCACTCCACCAGCCTTTTTTTTGTGATGGGTTTTTTGGAGACAGGGTCTCAAGAACTATTTGCCCGGGCTGGCTTCAAACCGCCTGGCACTTCAAATTTATTTTCATACACATCTGCAAAGTAGTAGACTCGTGGCTTGCATAAAATTTCATTTTTCTCTTGTCGTTTCTTTTTTTTTTTTTAACTCATGTGCATACAATGTTTGGGTCATTTCTCCCCCCCTTTCCCCCTCCCCCTCCCTCACCCACCCTAACCCCTCGCTACCAGGCAGAAACTATTTTGCCCTTATCTCTAATTTTGTTAAAGAGAGAATATATCTCTTGTCATTTCTTATTGTGTGTATTCATGTTATCTTTCTGTTTTGCTTAAGCTTATGACTTGTGCATTTTGTCGTTTTTTTGTTTTGTTTTGAGTGAAAGTTGTATTAAGCAGAGAGGAAAAAAGAAGCGCCCCATGTAGGCGGGTCTGGGACTTTTTTAACTCAGGCTCTTTGGTAATCAGTTTTCCTCCACCTCTTTGATTTTCACTTCTATCTTTTTTTCTCTCCGTGTATCTGTTTTACCTTGCTGCTCATTTTCTATTTTTCACTTTAGAAATTTCATTCTCATCCCTCCAGTTTTGTTGATAAAAGTGTTCGGCATTTGGGGTTTTCCTCTGATCATTGCTTTAAATGTATCCTAAAGAGTCTTTGAGAGTGGGTTTCGTTGTGTTTATTATGGCCTTGACCTCACTATCCTCCTGCCTTCGCCTCCTGGGTGCTGGGATTACAGATGTGTACCACCACTCCTGGCTCCATAGAGCTTACAAACAATTTTTCCATTAGGTTTTTGTTTGTTTAAGAAATTTTGTATTTTCCATGTGTCCCTTCACCCAGTAGTGTAACTGGCAACTTTTAAGTTTCTAGGTAGGGAGGGCCTTTTTTTATTGTTGACTTCTAGGGTTTCTTGTGTTGTGTATAGGCATGTTTGTGACATTTCTGCTTCATGAAATTTGCTGGTATTTCCTTTGGGACTAGTTTATTAATCTTCTTTACATAGTATGACAAAATGCCTAAGATGATGGACTTATGAAGAAGAAACGTTTATTTCTGACTCACATTTTTAAAGCTTTGAGCCCATGATCAGTTGGCCCATTGCTTTTGGGACTGTGGCGGGCAGAATATCATGGCAGGAGCAGAGGAGGAGAGGGCTGGGGCCATACTACGTAGCCCTGACCTAACTTCTTCCCCCTCGGCCTACCTCCCACGAGTTCTAATGCCTCCAAATACTGCCATCCTACCTGTAGCACCAAGCATGTGAGTGTGTCTGTCAGTGTGCCTTGTGCAGTTGCTACAAAAGTGTCTTTTCACTTTGCAGTGTAACGGTGAACTTACACCTGTGATCTGTTGATTAATTGCACTGTTCAGAGCTCCTTTGTCCTGGTCACCTGCCGCCTGTTCCTTATTACGAATGTGTTTTCATGATTCCTGCATCTCCTGTCGCTGTGGTTTTTTTGTAGTTGCTTTGATTTATTTTCATTTCCAGTACTGAGAATGAGACCCAGGGCCTGGCACAGACCAGACAAGCACTCTGTCAATGTGCTGCACCTTTTTTTGTTTTTGTTTTTGTTTTTGTTTTGAGACAGGGTTTTTCTATGTTCCCCAGGTTGTCTTCTGTCTTTAAATCCTCCTACCTCAGCTTTCTAAGTAACTGGGATTACAGGCGTGCTCCACCATGCCTGGCTGTTGCATATTTAGTGAATGTGGCTTTACATATTAAAAAGTTGACTCCTTTTGTTGTGTTTTAGTTTGAGTTGTACTCAGGAGACACTTGGTTTCCCATTCATTGGATAGGTGGCTTTGTCCTTGGTTCCAGGTTGTTCTTCTGTATGCAGCATAGCCCTGAGTCAAATTTGGGAGCCAAAATGAAAATCTTTACTGCAGAATGTGGTGGTACGTGCTTGTTTTTCCACCTCTTCCAGAGGTGGAGGCAGGAGGATAGCAAGTTCAAGGCCAACCTAGGCTACATAGTTTTTAGACGCTGTCTGTAAAAACAAAAACCAAAACAACAGCACAAAGTTTCTGGTGAGTTGAGGTCATTCATGTTTATTGATAAAACTGTATTGTGACCCCACTCTCTCCCTGTCTTGTAAATACTTCATCTCGTAAGTGCTGGTTGTTTTTCTATGCCATGTGCTTTCTTTGCACTTTTATTTCTAAAAATATTTGATACTTAGGGAAAGCTGGGGTGTTTGTAGTAGTGTATTTGTCTTAGCCTATGTTCTGTGGCTATAACAGAACATCTGAGACTGGGTCAGTCATTAAGAGAAGAGGTTTATGTGGCTGGGAAGTCCAAGATGGGGAGCCACATGGGGCAGAGCAGGAGAGAAAAGCTGAACTTGTCAGGCTTGGTTGCGATTCTGGGAAATGGAGTGACCTAAAGCAGCCCCCTTTCTGCTCCCCCACCCCCCTTGTCAAAAAGGCTTTGGAGAGGCCTGAGAGGTTTCAGATGGAGTATTTTGTGGAGAGTGCCTTCCTGCGTCTAGACCCAGTGTCTAGACTGGGTCAGCACTTTCCCTGCCTGTGGCCTGCATCCCTCTGTCCCCATCAGAGACTCAGGATCCTCACAGCTCTCAGGCCATACAGGGCAGGTTTCTGGAGCGATTCTTCTGAAGGGCTCCAGAGTCCTGGCCATGGACGAATGGGAGTCTGGGTTCCAGCTAGTGAGTCTCTGTTGACGGGACCTGAAGCAGAAATTGCTTCGCTCAATTGACGGGTACCCAGAGAGATCCACCTTCATTGGTTTCTGAAAATCTCACTTTACAAAAACTTTACAGTTCACAAAGTGGTTTAAATGACCTGTCCTGGTAAGACGAGCACTGCTGTGACGTGATGTGCCTCATCTCCTTCATTTTTCAGATGATGTCTTTCTTCCTAAAGATATCGACCTAGACAGTGTGGACATGGATGAGACGGAGAGAGAAGTGGAGTACTTCAAAAGGTAACGTGAGCACTGCTGTGGGAAGCACCGGTTGCTAAGCTTACATGGCTCTCTCTCTTCCATGACCCATGGAGCTTGTGTTGTCCCAGACCAGTTTCACTAGCAAGTCACTAGCAGCATGGGCCACCCCCAGTGTCCTGCCCACCCCAGCACTGGCATGCACACTTGGCCTCACTCATGCTTGCACACCTGTTTATTTCTCCCTCCTACATGTGTGTTGATGGTGGTTCTCACAGAGGGCCCAGACTTGCTCAGGTGTGTGTGATGTCTGCACATACTGGTGTGGCCCTTTTTTAAGGAGAAAAGTAGCATCTTAGACATTGGCTTAGTTCTTCCTAATGGCAAACTTTATCAGTACTATGTTCAGTGATGTTTTATCTACTGTGTAAATTATGGCAACAAAACCTTTTTGCCCCCGGTGGGGGGTGGCACTGGACCTCATGCTTGCTAGGCAGGTGCTCTACCACTTGAGCCACTCTGCCAGTACAACCACACCTTTTTTATAGAGAAGCTGAGGTGGGCAAGATTGCTATTCGAGGCCAACAGAGGGAGAAAATAGTTTGTGAGATCCCCATCTCAACAGAAAAAAGCTGGGTGTGGTGGCAGCAAGCATACAATAGGAGAATTGTAGTCAAGGCCACTCTAGGCAAAAAAGCAAGGCTCTAGCTCCAAAATAACCAGAACTAAAAGGACTGGCTCAAGCAGTAGAGCTCCTACCTAGCAAGTATGAAGCCCTGAGTTCAAACCCCAGTAATGCCAAAATAGATTGATAGATTAAATGAATAAATGAATAAGGTAACTGACACAAACAGATCAGTAAGTACAAAGTAAAACAGTAAGATGGGGTACATCATGTAGACTAGATAGTTTGTCAGATTGTATTAAAAAGTTTACGTTTAGGGCTGGAGGAATGGCTCAAGCAGTAGAGCGCCTGCCTAGCAAGTGTAAAGCCCTGAGTTCAAACCCCAGTACTGCAAAAAAAAAAAGTTTAAGTTTAAATGCAGGAAGGAGGGAGGGAGAAAAAAATGAAAAAATGTAGTAAACCCGCAAGAGAGAACTACAATATTGACAAATCAGGAAGCACCCTACCATGAGGACGTGACTTATTAAAGAAAAGAGAAGATAAGAGAGAAAGAGAGAGAGACGTGTACGAAACAGTTCTCAGTTGGGAAGGGTGTGAAAACACATGCCAAATAACGATGCCAGCACAGCAAGATGGGAAAGAGATTGAAGGAGAATGAAACCCGACTTTACAGATGATCACTGTGTCCTCACGTGAGTTAAGAGAGCGTGTCATAAGGGCTGGCTGCACAGACAGGATTGTTTCTCCCTGTGCCATCAGTAATTAAAAAATGAAGCTTGTAGAGGTGCCATTTGTGGGTGAGGACGCAGCTCAGTGCTCAGTAGAGCACTTGCCTGAGCCTGTGCGAGTTCCTGGGTTCAATTCCCAGCACTGAAGAAAAGAATGGAGATAGCGTTTATAACAGCACCAGAATCTCTGCAGAATCCATGGATAAATGTAACAACGTTGTACAAGACAACACCAAGGAAAACCTAAACCACAGACCCTGTTCAAAGACAGGAAGTGCTAGTGTATCATAAAGCTATGAAGTTTCTCAAATTTTATCTGTAAGCTTACAACCCAGAGTGGCTGGGCGCCAGTGACTCCCGCCTGTAGCCCTACCTACTTAGGAGGATCCCAGAAGCCAGATACCAGGCTCTGTTCTGCCAGGAGTTCTGCCAGGCTCCGTTTACATGAGATTCCAGAAAATGCAAATCCACCTGCAGTACCCAACAAGTGATTGCTGTTGGCCTAGAGAGAGGCAGGAAGCAAAGCAATGGAAGGTGCGTGGGGTTTCACAGAAGTGTTCCTTCTTGATGAGGTCATGGTCAGCACTGAGGAGGGAGCTCTGTGCCCACTGTGCAGTGTGGCACAGTGCAGTGCTCATCAGGCATGCCTCAGTAAAGTAGATTTTAAAAGTGTGTTTGGATTCACGTGGATGTGTTAAAGCTAAAGGAAAGTAAGGGAGCTGGGCGTGCTGGCGCGGGACTATAATCCCAGAACTTGGAGGATCAAGAGTTCGAGACCAGCCTAGGCTGTTAGTGAGACCCTGTCTCAAAAGACAAAGAATGAAAGGGAGGAAGAGAAAAGAGAAGCAAGGAAATTATCTCTGTTAAAAAAAAAAAGGGATGGTGATTGCTTCTGAGGGGAGGAAGGGGGCAGCTTGTCTAAAGAGGGTACAGGGGAGTTGCCACAGGGTCCTGGCAGTGTCCCCTGGCTTGACTCTTGTGATGCACAGTGTTTGCTACATATCTTCCTGATGCAGTGTGTTTGTTTCATTCACTCTAGTGTGTGTTACAGCTTACAAAAAGGGTGGTTGCCTTACTCATAACCTCAGGAGGAATGAGAACATAAGGAAGGTGCTTTTCCTACCATTGTAGAACTGTGAGCCCAGAACCAGCCCAGCTGGTCAAAGTACCAACTTGGCTGTGTGACAGGATGGTGGAAATGAGGAGATACTAATGAGGAGGAAGCGGGATCCTTACCCCACACCAATTCCTGATGGGCTTAAGAGTTTGGATGTCAAAAGCAAACCTTTTGTCTGGGATGTAGCTTAGTGGAAAATCATAGGGTACGTGAGGCTGTGGGTCTGGACTGCAGCACCAACCCTGACCGGAAGAGCCCACCTTGTAATTAGGAACAAGAAAAGAGAAGTATGCTTTGATCTCAGAGTAGGAAAAGTTTTCCGTCTTTTTCTCGCCTTGGTGGCGGTACTGGAGTTTGAAGTCAGGCCCATATACCTAGCCCTTTTTTAGTTTGGTTTTTTGTTTTTTTGCCCAGGCTGGGCTTGAGCCACGTAGCATCTCTCCTAGTAGCAGAGATTACAGGCATGCACGCCAGGCTTGTTTCTGGAGGTAAGGTCTCACTAACTTTTTGTCCAGGCTGGCCTCAAACTACTTTCCTTCCTGTGGCTTCCCAAGTAGCTGAGATTACAGGTACAAGACACCACACCCAGCCCAAGATTTCTTAAAATGGAAACCATAAACTGAGTGCAGCAGATCCACTGCGCAGCTCATTACAAGGACTCACATGGAAAAGTAGAAAGGAAGTTTCCAGAAGAGTGTAACCAGTCAACAAAGGCGAGCCCTTCATGGGTTTGCAGAGAGCATACCTCCTACGTTGTTCCTGGGAGTAACACCATGAGGAAGGAATGGTGCCACGCTGTGACGTGTCTTCCTACAGTAGTAGGACCACACTGACTCACAGACATACTGCTTGCTGAGTGGAGCAAGCAGGAAGAAAAGACATTAGCAGGGCGAGGTGGATGCAGATGAAGCCCACCCTGACAGATGTTTGTGAGACCCCATCTTAACAAAATAAAACTAAAAGACCTGGAGGGTGCAGCTCAGGTGGGAGCACTTGAAAGCACGAAGCTCTGGGATCCCAGCACCACAAAAGAAAAACAAACAAACATGCATTCAGGACGACTCACTGATAGATGCTCAAAGTGAGCACAGCCAAAGCACCACTGCCGTGCACGCAGAAGTCACAGTGCTCGGCAAAGACAGCAGGGCGGCAGGGTCAGCGTGACGAGTAACCACACCATCCTCTCCCAGTGATCTGGGCGTGCATGTGACACAGTCCACAGGTGACAGCGTGGTCTGATGAGGAGGCCCCTGGGTGTGGGAGGCGCACAGTCAGGTGTCATTGGGCCTGGGGCCTTGGGGAGCAGCTTGGGTTTTATGCTCGGTGCTGGAGAACCCACTGGAAGCCTTCCTGCACATGGATTGAATTCATTCATCGAGTGATTGACGTTGTGCAGGAATAGGCTGTGTTTTTGAGCATTCTCAGTGCTGTGTGAGAAAGAGGAGGTGGGAGCCACACACACTAATGGGAGATAGGGGGCACTTACCATGTTTGTAGGAGACAACAGAGGCAGAAATAGAAGCTTCAAGAACATTTAGGAGGTACTCGGCAGATTCAGGGCTTGACCAGCCGTGACCACAAAAAAGGAATTTGGGTTCTGGGAGGTGGAACAGCACATCCCTGGCAAGGGCTCAGTCTTCCTCCTCCTAGACTGAGGCAACACACAGCTGGTGCAACGACTGAACCACATGGTTTTGCCTGCTGAGTGAGTGACAACCACCATCCTTGTCACGTTTCACTTTAATTTCTGCTTCCCAGATTCAGTAGAAATCGAGGCACTGTGCAAGGATCCTTAAACAAAAGAAGCTGTTATTCCCTTCTTTAATACAGAAATTGCCCACTGTTGCGGGCGAGGATGGAGCACTGTGCTCTTTTTCAGGAAAAGCCCTCAGAGTAATGCTGTGGTCCCAACACAGGCTGCTGGCTCCGAGTCTGGGGTCCTTCCTGAGCAGGGACCCTGCACATCCTGCCCTGCATCCGGACTGAGTGGACAGGCTGTTGTAACTGTCTGCAATAAGAAGTTCTGATTTCATGAAGAAGTTAAGATACCCTGAAGCCTCAGCTTTGCAGCACCGAGTTCTTGTCCTTAGTACAGGCATGGGCTGTGAGCCAAACTCAGCCCACCCCCCACTTATGAGTGACTTGTAAGTTAAAAGAATTTGCACACCGAAGTCGTTGAAGAAGAGCACAAACTCGGTGTTTTGCCATCTGTAAACAGAGTTTCACTGGAGATTAGCTGTGCTCTTGCGCTACCAAGGCAGGGCGTGTGGCGCAGACTACAGGCCCACAGAGCTTAAGCATCTACTCTCTGCTCCTGTGTGGAAGTCACCTCAGAGCCCCATGCTTGGCAGCCAGCCCTCCCCAGTAGCTCCTGCTGGGTGCAAGGTCTGGGTTGAGGTGACATCCATCCATGACCCTGCCTCTGCAGACACGACTCTCCCAGTGCACACCTGCCAGTAAGGTCCAAAATGTGCCCTCCTTCCTGGCCCGAGCCAGGGGGTAGCTTTTTGCCTCAAGCACATCTCCTGTTCTCAAGGTCAGCTCAGGCCACTGACCAGGGCCTGCAGGGCACATGTTTGTACCCTCCTGTGCCCAGTACTCTGCCTGTGTGTCTGAGGAGTGCAGCTGCAAAGTCCTTCAACTGTCCCCTGACCCCAGCAGGTACCTGCAGAGGAGGGAGGCAACAGCTCCTTAGTCTTGTCTCCTTCCTGCCCAGCCACGTTAAGGGCATGGGATGGTACATGTCTACAATCCCAGCTACTCGGGAAGATAGAGTTCAAGGCCAGTCTGGGCAAAGTTATCAAGACCCTGTCTCAAAAACAAAATAAAGGGCTGGGTTAATGGCCTGCATCTGTAATCCTAGCTATATGGGAAGTATAGGTAGGAGGATCAGGCTGAGCCAGCCCTACCTGAAAAAAACACAAGCAAAAAGAGCCCAGGGGCATGGCTCAAGTGATAGAGACCTACCTAACAAGCACAAGGCCCTGAGTTCAAGCCTCAGTACTGCCAAAAAAACAAATATGTAAGTAAAAAATAAAAGAACTGGGGACATGGCTCAAGTGGTAGAGCTTGCTTAAGGTCCTGGGGTGGGGTGGAAGGGCAAGGTGGTGGCCAATGGCAGCTGCTCAGTACTGTCTGTTGGGCCAATGAGAAGCTTCCTCGAGAAGCCCACGGAGGCGTGTTCCTCCCAGGTTAAGCTGCTTTTCTAATGAGACTTCAACTGTCCCCTGAAGAACAAGGTAGGAAATGATGACACAAAGCACCAGAGGATGTGCCGGACCCCCTGACCAGCATCCTTAAGACAGGATCCCTCTCCTCTTCCAGGCACAAATACCCCTCACTGAGGCCCTCCAATGACTTTCTGGCAGGAGTAGGGCAGTGAGGTTGGTTGGTTCCAGACTGGGTGTCCTTTGGTGACTGGCTTTTTGTCTTTGCAGGTTCTGCTTGGACTCCGCTAGACAGACCCGACAAAGACTGTCGATCAACTGGTCCAACTTCAGCTTGAAGAAAGCCACTTTTGCTGCACACTGAATGAGGACCGCGTGGAGAGGGACGCGCGGGAGGCAGCGGGCTGTGCCACCCTGAGAGCCAAGCCCCTCATTGGCCCCCAGAACTGCAGCGCCCATACAGGGTGGGATGATGCAGCCTGCGATCCCCCAGACCGAAAACTCGCTGCTCGACCCGCGTTGTTAGCTCGTGTGCGTGTAGTCTGTGAGTGAGACTTCCTTGATTGTAGCTCTGTGCTGTCGGAACGGAGCAGTAGTCCCCGCCAGTTCCTCCCACCACTGTGGCCTCAGAGGCCTGGGCTGTGGCCAGAGACGAGTTTGCACCATCCACGTGGCTCCGTCGCCTCTGCATCTTGCCCTGTCCTGTCATCTGTCCCTCAGCTCCCGTGTGCCCTGCGTCCCACCTGAGGCGGGTTGGGCAGGCAGGCCTCCTTCGTTCTCCTCCACAATCTACTGTTTCCGAGTGTACACGTTGCGCTGTTTGTGTTTGAGCCCCCTGACTTGTAGCCAGCTTGTGTAAGACCCCTTGCAGAAAGAGAACGTTAAAAACAAGAAACCCACCCAGTACTCACACCATCAAGTCTGTTCTAGAGCGTACGACCGCATTAACACGGAGGCCTGCCTGGCTACTTTTTTAACATATTGTTAAGTGATATTAAAATCATGTCTTTCTTTTTGAAAGATGGAATACATTAGTACAGCAGGAGACCTAGTCTGGTTGCTTTCTGCTGGGAGCAGTGGGTGGGAGGTGACATGTGACTGATGTGTCTCCTTCGGGGAGCCAGGACGGCCACCCCAGGATTGGCTCCCCAGGGGCCCCAGGTGTCAGCTTAAGGTTCCTGGTGCCCTCACTGTGCCAGGCAGTCCCCGGCACCAGGACCAAACAGCCACCAGGAGTTGACAGCCAGCCGGATCATCAGAGGGCTGCGAGTGGCCATGCAAAGAAGACACAAGATGGGGCAGCAGGACAGCTGGGGTTGCTGGGTTATACCTCAGGGACACGGGGACACTGGAGTAAGACTTAACGGCCTGAGTGAGGCCCTTGCAGCATCACGCAGAGGGCCAGCAGGCCCAGGTCACCTATGGCCTCGTCAGCAGGCCCCGTCCATTTTTCAGGAGGTTGTGATGGATAATGAAAGAGTAACTTACAAATGTTCAGTTGGGTATAAGTCAGGATCAAGGTGAATATTTAAATGAATGCCAAGAAACCAGCCATGGTCGGGCCCTTTTATCCAAGATCTCCAGGCACCCTGTGGAAAGCTCTTGGCCCTGCTGGGGCCATTCCTTCTTTGCCTGCTAGGGCACAGGTGACTTGGACAAGAGCCCAGTGGGAGCCACTGGAGGGAGAAGGAGGGAACAGCTGGTCCTGCTGGTTCTGGAGACTTTACACCAGGGAACAGGAACTGCATCAGTAGCCAGAGGAAGTGCAGGATTGGGAGTTTTCCTTGTTTATTTTGTTTTATGTTTTCCAGGTGGGAGGAAGAGCAGCACATCCCTTTGTTCAGCAAAGGGGGAAACAGGCTGGGCTGTGACCACGGCAAGGAGCAGTGCTCTTGAGAGGGCAGAGACCCCGATGCCATCCCCCAGGGACACCAGCTTCGTCTCCTGGCTGAGGCGGGGGCTGGGGAAGGCCCCAGGCTGGGTCTGCCTCCCGTGGGAGACCCCGACCCTGCTTTCCCAGGCCTGTTCTCCCTGTGGACAGCAGCAGCTGTGCTGGGGGCCAGGCCAACCTCTGGGCCTCAACTTCTCATCCACTCATCCACCCAGTAGAGCCATGCCAGCTGCTAGAGGGACCACAGGCTCTCCAGCTGTGGCATCAGCAGGAACTATTGGAATCAGGAGTCGTGATGGGAACCCTGGGTGCCCCAATACGCAGCACCATGTTGGGGCCCAGAAATAGACCCCACCCCCACACCCTGCTCTGAGCTCCACATGGCCCCTCAGGCTTCTTGGCTGCTCTGTCTGCCAGGAACAAGCTGTTTCCCACTTCCCTAGAGGCCATTGTGCCTAGGCCCATGTGTGTCTCTGGCTCTGCTCAAGGTGGCATTGCTTGGCAATTCTTGTCTTCAGGAAGAAAAAGAAATGGTGGATGGAGTCAGGTGGAAGTCTCAGGACCGAGCTGGTGGGGAGGGAGAGTAGAGGCAACCAGGCCTCCGCTGTCATCCTGCCCTGTCACCCACTTACACACAGGGAACTGAGGCCCAAGGGGTATGCCTGGCCCTTGTGCCTCTTCCTCGGGGGGCCAGGCCTGGGGACAGCCCCCAGGGGAGCCTCACATTCTGCTATTCCCCCCTTACAGGGCACTACTAATCATGAAATTAAATAAAATAACTATAGCTAGAAAAGAAACACCAAGTGGGAAAATTTTATTGAACTTCAGATGCAATCAAACTAGTCAATATATTAAAGACTTTTGTGGAACCATAAAATTCATTTTGATATTAGGGTTGTTTTTTTTTTTTTTTTTTTACTATTACTGTTTTTTTGAAGTGGGATCTTGTTCTGTTGCTGGGGCTGGTCTCAAACAACTCCTCGGCTGAAATGACCCACCCACCTCAGCCACACAGGTGTCCGGGACCACAGACACAGCATCCACCATGCTGTCCTCTGTTTTAAGTGACGCCTCCTGGTCATCGTGCAGTGACAGAACTGAAAGAGCCCGGTGCTCTGGCTCTCATCTTCAGCCCTAGTCTACAAACAGTACTTTTGGGGTTGGCAACACTAGCTATGCAGAAAGTTGACACGAATCTGAGCTGTCAAGAACTTAACTCCTCTGGGGAGAAACACGGAGCTGAGCAAGTCAGGAGGCACCTGTGTGGCTGCTGCAGGCTCAGTCCACGCTCACACGTGCTCGTTGTTAACACGAGGAGGAACCGACTGCTGCAAAAGAAGGAAACTGCCAGGAAGAAAGTTCATTCTAAAGAAACAGGCCCAAAATGAGAGAACTCACAGACAAGAACCTTTTTTTTTTTTTTTACACTGGGATTTAAACTCGGGACCTCATGTTTGCGAGGCAGGTGCTTTACTACTTGAGCCATACCTCCAGCCCTTTTTGCTTTAGTTACTTTTCATACGGGGGCCAACTTTCAGTCCAAAATCCTTCTACCTATGGCTCCTGCACAACTGGGATAACAGCATACAGTACCATGCCCAGCTTATTGTCTGATACGGGGTCTCACATATAACTCCAAGCTGACCTCAAACTGAGATCCTCCTGATCTCCGCCTCCTAAGTATCTGGGATTACAGTCTTGAGCCACTACTCCTAGTAGCAAGAACCTTAAAATGGCTGCCGTAAATCTCTGCAATATGCTAGATGAAGGAAAACAATGATGAAGGAAGAAATGGAAGATACATCCAAGTGAAAACTTCAAAAGAAAAAATACAGTAAATGAAAAATACTCCAGATAAGATTTCAGAAGAGATTAGTGAACTTGATGGCGTGTGTGTGTGTGTGTGTGTGTGTGTAAGCCTTTTTAAAAAATGAATGGCTAGGAGAAAGGAATGACCACAGTCTAATGTTTGTGGAGCTGAAGTCCTAGGAAAGGGGGAAAACAGAAATGGTAAACAGAAACTTTTTACTGGTGGGAGGGGTTGCTGGGGATGGAGCCTGAGTCTCATGCACACTAGGCAAGTGCTGTACCACTGAACCACACCCCAGCCCCAAAGATACTCCAGATTTTCACAAACGCCCAAGTGGAGTAAACACAAGCACGTGCCCAAAGTGCTGACACCAGTGATTAAAACCAGGCCAAAGGACTGGGGAAGGCGCTCCCAGCTGATGCCCTGTTCCTGGTGTTTGCCCTTGGGCAGCCATGAAGAACACTGGTGAAAACTCAGAGTTTGTGACTGTCCCCTTTCTCCCAACCTGCTGGCACCCAGTTTCCATCCCAGCCCTGCTGGTGGAATGTTGTCTTAGTCACCGTGTACATGACCCTCACCACACTTGCCCTGAAAATTGAGAAAGCGACAAAGCGTGCATGCAGAGGAACAGGAAGGTGTGACCCATGCGCTGGTGGGTGAAGTAGGGAAGTGGACACTGCCCGTGAGGGACGAGACATGACTCTCAGAAGACAAGTAGCCATTGCAAACGTGTTCTCGGGACTAAGCCAACCATGGTGGCTGCGGTGTCAGGGAAGGGAGGACTGATTTTCAAGGATCCAATTAGAAATCAGCTAGCAGGAGACGTAAGTGAACTTGGGGTAGTGGAGGGGCTCAAGCATGAGATCCTGAGTTCAAACCCCAGTACCCTCACAAGAAGAGTGGCCGGGTGCCGGTGGCTCACACCTGTAACCCTAGCTACTCAGGAGGCAGAGGTCAGGAGGAGGATGATTTGAAGGCAGCCATGACACATAATTCACAAGACCTATCAAAAATACCCATCACAAAAGAGGGCTGTTAGAGTGACTCAAGGTTAGGCCCTGAGTTCAAGCCCACTACCGCAAAAAAAAAAAAGAATCAAGATGCAAGGCACAAGACGAACAGAAAACGAATTTTTTAAAATGAAGATAGTCCTAGCTACCCAGGAGACTTGGGGCCAGCCACTGTCAAGTATGCCAGCAGAGAGAAAGCAAAAACAGAAACATCTAAGTTACTGAAAAACCATTTTCACATCCCAGAAACTACACATGCCTATATTTAGATGTCCAATCAATAGTCACTTTAAGACACTGGAAAAGGAGTAGACTTGACCTAAAGCAATCTTTTGATTAGAGATGAATGGACTAGAGCAAAAAGTAAAAACCAGTGACACATAAAGCTTTGAGATTAACAAAACTGACAAAGCTTTAGTAAGACAGAAAAGCTCAAATTACTGTGCTAGAATCAGAAATGAAAGAGGGACCATTGCTTCTGACTCTACAGAAGACAGAAGTAAAAAGGATCACAGAGTGTTATGAAGACTTGGTTCACTTAGGTGACTGTCGTCTTGGTCCACCCCTGCTGTTACAGCCAAGTGCCTAATTCATAAGTCACTTCACTTCTCAGTTCTGGAGACTGGGAAGTCCTAGATCAAGGCACCAGCAGACGCAGTGTCTAATCAGGGCTACTTCTGTTTCCAAGATGGTACCTTGCTGCTGTCTGCACGTGGCGAAAGGGCAAAAGGGGAAGCAGGGCACAGCCTTCAGCCTCTTATAGGATGGCTAATCCCATTCGTCAGCGTGGAGAACTCATGGCTTCATCACTTCCCAAAAGATCTCAGTTTGAGGTCTTTTTTTTTGGTGGCACTGGGTCTTGAACTCATGGCTTCACACTTGCAAGCCATGCCCCAGTCAAGACTCTTACCCCTTTGTATCACACTGGATATTTAGATTCCAACACAGGGATCGTGAAGTGAGTGAGCATACGTCCACACCACAGCAGCAGGGATGGACCCCTAGGTTTGGACACAGTTGGAAAGTCTCCTAAAGAGTGTCCAAGGACGCTGAGGAGTGCTGGATCTTTAGGAAGTGGAGCCTAGCCACCCTTGAAGGTATTAAAGAGGTTCTCTCTCGTCTGATCTCGGAAGCTAAGCAGGGTCGGGCCTGGTTAGTACTTGGATGGGAGACCGCCTGGGAATACCAGGTGCTGTAGGCTTCAAAAACCAAATAAAAAAAACAAAAAAGAAAAAAATAATAAACAACAACAACAAAAAGAGGTTCTCACAGGACTGGTTCATTCTTGGTAAAAAGGTTTTTTATGAGGGTTGCCCCATTTGGCCACTTCTGCATGTAGGCGTTTCCTTCCCATATTGTAATGCGGTCAAGAAGGCCCTCGCCAGATAGTCCTGCTTGGACTTTTCCAGGTGCCAGAAGCATAAGCCTAAGAACCCTCTTTATAAAGTACATGGCCTTAGGTTGTGCGTGGTGGTGCAAGGCTGTAATCCCAGCTACTCAAGAACCAGAGGATTGTGGTTTGAGGCCATCCTCGGCCAAAAAAACCAAACTGGCTGAATGCCTCATCCGAAGCTAGGTATGAGGCTGAGATCTGGAGGGTCATGTTTCTAGGACAGCTTGAGCAAGAAGCTTCATGAGACTGTCTCAGTACATCTGGGGTTGGTGGCACTCAGCTGTCATCCCAGCTATGGCACGAAGGCTAAAACAGGATGGGGACCCATCTCCAAAATATCCAGAGCAAAAATAGGTGGAGGCATGGCTCAAGTGGCAGAGCACCTGCCTAGCAAGCATGAGGCCCTGAGTTCAAACTCCAGTACTGAAAAAAAAGTACACGCCTGTAATCCCAGCTACTAGAAATGCGGCAATTCATGGCCCAGGCTGGCCATGGACAAAAGCATAAGAGACCCCATCTGAAAAATAAACTAAAGCAAGGAGCTGGGTGTGGCTCGAGTGTAGAGAGCCTGCCTGGCAAGCACAGGCCCTGACTCCAAACCCCAGTCCCACCAGATCGAGTACACAGGCTCGGACATTTATCATAGCACCACGAAATAAAGACGGACAAATTCCTACGCAGACACAGATTGCACAAGGTGACCTGAGAAGAAAAGGACCGGGCGAGCCTGTAATGACGGAGGACACTGGGGCAGTAACGCTCTGACTCCCCGGTGGCCCCAGCACTGAGCTGTGCCATCTGTTAGAGTAACACTGACTCTCAGACACGAGAAACGGCAGGAGGGGATTCCCAACTTGTTCCATGAGACCAGTATTACCCTGCTACCAAAACCAGACAGATGTCACAAGAAAACACGCTACTGTCCTCCACACGGATGAAAACTTGAAAAACACTGCAGAACCAAGTCCAGCAGCATGAAAAACACCACGGCCACGAGGGATTTGCCAAAGGTGTGCAGGAGTGGCTCCAGGCCCCAGATCAGTTTAGTACATCACATCAGAGGTTCATTTCTGAGATGGTGTTACATGTATCCCAGGCTGGCCTCACCTCAAACTCACAACCTGCCTCCACCTCCAAAATGCTTGGATTACAGACATACATGACCAGGCCCAGGCTTCTTTTTGAAAAGGTTTGTCCTCACTGGATTTACTTAATATGGGATACAGAACTATTTGAGTGTTCTGTTGCTTGTGTCAACTTTTTGTCATTTGGTGGGGTGGGGGCTGTTTCCTTTTGTATTGTTTTCTTTGTGGTGCTAGGGCAGGAGCCCAGAGCCTCTCATGTGCCCTCTACCCTGACCTTCATCCCCGGCCCTTTCCCTTTCTCTCTCTCTCTCTCTCAGCTTTGTTGATCTTGCTCTCTGTTTCACTAGTTTTGTTCTTCACTGTTTCTCTTTGGGTTTATCTGCAGCTCTTTCTCAGCCTCTTGATACAGATACACAATGAATTTTAACCTTTCCTTATTTCTGTTATGTGCATTTAGACCTGTAAAGCATCCCCAAATACTAATTCAGTGTTTGGTTTCTTTTCTTTTTCATATGTACTTCTTTTTAAATTTTTTTTAGATGGGGCCTCACCATGTAGCCCAGATCTCGAACTCACGATCCTCCCTCCTACCTCAGCCTCCTGAGTGCTGAGATTACAGGGGTAAAACAACACCCGTTTTTTTGTTTGTTTTTATTTTCTTGCTAGGCCTTTTTACACCCCTAGCCCTTTTTACTTTACTTTTCAAGTAGGGTCTTGAATGTTGCCTGGGCTGGCCTGGGTCACAATGCTCCTATTTATGCCTCCCTCCTGGCTGAGATCACAGGTGTGCATCCCCACACCCAGCTTTATTGAGATGGCATCTTACTAACTTTTTTCTTGGGCTGGCCTTGAACTGTAATCCTCCCAGTCTTTGCCTCCCTAGTAGCTGGGATTACAGGTGCAAGCCACCAGGCCTGATCTGTATCTTGATTTCTTGTATTTGAAGTGCATCTTTCTTTCTTGTTTGTTCTTCCTTTACTGTTGTGAAGGGTGGGGTACTTGTGGCATTTACACAGGTTCTTACACTTCGTCAAATACATCATACTAAAATTCACCTCTACTGTTCTTCATCTCCTCCTGCCCCCTGAAGTGCATCTTTCTGAACACACTGGAAGTAGGATTTTTAAGTTTCCATCCAAGCTTACCACTGTGCTCCTGTCTAAGGATGGCGTTTCCACCTTAACTCACTTCCCTAAAACTTCAGGTCTGCACTTACACGTAAACCTCAGTCCACAAGACGCCAAGAATTGGTCCAGGTTGCCTGGAACAGAGATCAGGAGTCCAGACGTTCACCTGGCTCTGTGGAGCTGCTGCAAGTTAAAAGGCTTCCTGAAGTCTTGCGTCCCCACCAATCCTAAGGCAGCCTGCTGTCCCGGCAGCCCCCAGGCTGGGCTCACCAAGGCCCTTGGCTTGGTCATGGCAAACAGCATGGCAGCTCCTTGCTGGTTGGTCAAGCCGTGCGTGTTCTGAAACACTGCCCACCCCAGCACCTCAACCCCAAACACGGCTCTCAGAGCAGTCGCAGCACTGAGTACATTTATTATAAAAATAAGTGGTTAGAAAGTAAGTGTGCTCGGACTTCGGACACGTGACAGATGATACTACTGCAATGCAACCGTGCTCGGCACAGATGTGTGGCCCTGCTGGCTGGGGCCGAACAGGCACCTCCCTCTGTGGAACGGGCTGGGTTCCATGGCTTCCCACAGGTCTTGCAGTAGCTGCCTGGATGGCTTGCACCTTCGACCTGACATCTTGGGAGCCCTGACTCCACGAGCCCGAGGACTGCCCCCAAGATGCTCCTGACCCAGCTCTGCCTCTAGCTCTGAAGGTGGTTCCCAGTCTGAGCCGAAGGGGGTCCAAAGTGAGCTGTCAGAGTCTCCCCACCCCATTCTGAGGACCATGGATTCCAGTAGAGTTCAAACCCCTGTTGGGAAGCTGAGTCTGAGAGCTGCCACCCTGGTCCCCAAGGCAGCTGTGCTGGGAGGTCCAGGCCACAGTGAGAGCTCACTGGCAGCACTCGGACACATGTCTGAGGAGCTCGTCACCTTGCTCATCGCTGAAACACTGCAGGCAGTGAGGGCACTGGAGGTCACCCTGACCTCTCTGGGCTGTGCTGGGGCGCCTGCCCTCTGCACAGGGCTCCAGCTGCTGGGTACCAGGCCCAGGCCTCCAGTCACCAGGCACCACACACTCCAGCCCGTCGCTCTCTAGGTACTTGGCACTTTTGCTCCCAGTGTGCATCCGACAGGGGCCTGGCTCACGGGAGTCCTGAGGAAAAGGCAAAGGTCTGTTTACCCAGGCTGTGCTGGAGGCCATGTTGTCAGCCTGGGATTCTAGTGACAAGGGATCCTCCATCTATCCACACAAGGAAGTGTTGAAGGTCCCCCACACTCCCTCAGGAACCAGGCCTGAACAGGTTCACTCCCCTTCGTGCCTGATTTGGGGGAGACCCTCTCCCAAAGGTGGCCCTGATGATACTCCCCAAGGCCACCACAGAGTGGGAGTGGCAGGCTCAGAGGAGCAGGGGAGCAGACAAACTGATCCGATCCTACTCCGCGCTTGGGTGCTGGGCACTCCGAGCCTCCGAGCCTCAGGGCCGCAGTGGCAGCCTGACACGGTCTGAACACGTGCCCCACTGAAGCTCCGCAGATGCCATGCCATCACTGCTTGTTTGGAGACGTTTTGCCGTGAGGCTCTCTGCTCTGCGTGCAGCACCACTGTCCCCGGGTGTGCCACCCTGGGGGGGCTGGCAACAGCAGGTGCTCCCAGCAGCTGAGGGGACACTGGCTACATTTGAAAGGGACTTCATGCAAAGGTCCCCATCACCACAGGAATTCTGTCCTCAGGGCTGAGCAGGAGGCCCTCGGGGAGACAGGCCTGGCCAGGTTCTGGTCAGCCCTCCGCCTGAGACCATCATCATGGCTGCACCCTCAGCAGCCCTTCATACACTCACAGGGGCCAGAAAGCCTGCAGGCAAAACCCCAGCCATGCTGGAAGATGCCCCTCTCCTGTCCAGGGCATGCGGCCTGCGGTCCTGGGGCTTGAGGAGAACCAGGACCTGGGGGCAGGGAACCACCGGTCACACACTCCATTTGGATGACAAGAAGGTTGCTGGGCTGGGTGGTGGCTCTGGGCAGGGCTGGAGGTGCCTGGTGAAGCCCTCTAGCATCCCCTTGTCAGCTTGTGGACATAGGTCCCCAACCTGTATCAGTTATACCCTGCCTAGGTATAACTGGTGCCTTTGTCCAGGCTCCACCTATGGACTTAGCCCAGAGGAGGTAAAGAAAGGGTATGTGCCATGACTCTGCACCCTTGCACAGGGGACAGTGGCCCTTCCCAAGCCACAGGAGGGTCAAGTCTAGAGTCAGCTGTGGCTAGAGAGCACCAACTCCCAGGCACCATTTCTGTCCAGTAGGAAGGACAGGCAGTTGTTTTTTTGCGGTACTGGGACTTGAACTCAGGGCCTTCACCTTGAAGCCACTCCACCAACCCTTTTTTATGATGTGCTTTTTCTAGGTAGGGTCTGCTGAACTATTTGCCTGGACTGGATTTGAAACACAATCCTCCTGCTCTCTGCCTCCTGAGTAGCTAGGATCACAAGTGTGAACCACCAGTGCCCAACAGGAAGTTCTTTAAGGGGGGGCCAAGGTGTCCCTCAGATCAGACAGTGTATGACACTAACTGGCTGAAGGAACAAACCTCTCCTGGGAATTTTGCAAAAGGTGAGTCTATCTTGGCAGAGGAGAAGAGGCCTGTGTGTCAGTCACAGCTCACACCAGGCCCCTTCAGGCCTGAGGGCAGCACTGAGACGACCAGAGCTATGCAGGACCCAGGAATGCACTGGAAGATCTGACTGGACCCTGGGCCTGTGTCACACTATGTGACACAGTACCTAGGGTCCCTGCCAATAGAGAGCCTGGGGCCCAGCATGCTGTCTGGTCACATGACAATGATGCATGGGGAGGCAGGACAGCCACCTGTGTAAATGGGGCACCACACAGCCTAACAGCTGAACACAGTACCGTGGGGAAGTTTCCATGGCCACACGCTGGCCCTGGGAAAGGCGGTTCTGCCCATCACCAACCTCATCACCAGCACTCAGGGTCTTAGACACAGAAGTTCAAAATCCATGAAAAGAAAAACAAAAACACTAACGCTCAGCAAGGGAGAAACGGCCTTGCCGTACCTGCCTGTGGGACACCTGGAACAGCAAGGCAGCAACCTTGTCCTCCAGCTCTTGAATCCGGCTTTGAGCCCGCTCCCGGTCTGCCCTTTCCGAGGAGAAGTCCTCCTTGTAAGCCAGGATCTGTGCAGAGCAAGACACACTTCTGCCCAAGTGCCCGGCTCCGCCCCGCCCTCCTCTTGCTAACACCCCCCCAAGTGCCACCAAGCCCTCAGCCTGGCTTGTCCCAACCGCAGCCACTGCCCCAGGCAGCTGTATCATCAGGGCTGCCCAGAGCCCAAGGTCACCTGCTGCTCAAGCATCTGCACTCGTTCCAAGGCAGCACCCCGGGCCGTTCTCATGGCTGCCAGCTCCTGCTTCACTTCTGCACAGTCGTGCATCTTCTCTTCCAACTGCCTGTTGAGCCGGGAGATCTCCTTCCTCATCAGCTCGTTGTCAGGGGGGCCCTGCAGCCCCCTTAGCTGAACATGGAGCCCCCTCACATACTCGTCCCTGCTGGCATCATAGCGCTGCCATTTGGCATTGAGGTCTTCCACCTAAGTGGCAGAACGTGAACTCTAGCCAACACCAGCTGGGACGCTGTGATGGCATCCACAGCAGTGATCTTAAGCAGAAGTGCACTTTAAAATTTTTTCCTGTACTTCTTGGGCTAGAGCACCTACCTAGCAAGCACAAGGCCCTGAGTTCAAACTCCAATACCACCAAAAAAAAAAACAAAAAAACCCAAAAAATACTTCTTGGGCAGGGCATGGGGCACATGCCTGTGATCCCAGCTGCATGGAAGGCTGTGGATAGGAGGATCTTGCTCTGAGGCTAGCCCCAGGCAAAAGTACAAGACCCTATCTGAAAAATAACTAAAGCAAAGATGGCCGGGGGAGTGGCTCAAGTGTAAAGCACCTTCCTAGCAAGCACAAGGCTCTGAATTCAAACCCCGGTACTGCCAAAAACAACCAAAAACCTGTACCCCATATGGTAGCTCTTGTACTTCCTCTGCCGACCAGTGAGTTAACTGTAGGGCTATGGAGGAGGAACAGGAGAGGAGGACCCACAGCCCCGCCGGACATCAGCTTAGGGAAAGACACTCACGTGAGTCACCTTCTGTCTCAACAGCTGATTTTCTTCCTGTAACTTCTCAATGACAGCTAGGCCAGAGGCATCCCCACTTGTACTCTCTGGCTACGTAAGAAAGGAACAGGGAGACCACACGTCACACTAAGCAAGAGGAAAGGAAGCTGGGCCCGCAGGCCATCCCTGCCTCCTGCCACGCAAGGCAGCAACTGTCCATTTGTCAGAGAAGCAAAATGGAGAGAAAAGGATGTGCCAATCCCAGCTTCCTGCCCAGGCCCTCTTGCCCTGGGGACAAGCCGCAGTCTGGACAGAGGTCTCAAGGCCACATCACCTATGACACTGTCCTTGTCCCTTCCTACGCATGTGAATTGTTTGTATTTAAATATTCTAGCTGTGACATTGAAGAGATAAGCAGAGCTGTTGTAACACGTTCTCTGCACCTGAGCCCAGCCATCTACAGGCAGCAGAGAGAACCCCGCTGGGGGCCTCCCGCTGCCTGGTGTGGGCTGGCCAGGGTCCAACTTTCCTCCTTCAGAGCTCATGACACTGTCAGGTCCACAGAAAATCCAGCAACCTGAACATGGCAACCTAGAAAACCACTTCCCAAGCCAGCCCCTACCAGCAGCTGGCATGGAAACATCTCACAAAATATCATCTGTGCCCCAGGACGACCATGTGTTGAACAGCACAGGGGACGGTCAGTGACATCACTTTTGAGAATTCCCCTCGAATGACAGGAAGTGCGTGTCCTAACCCAATGTGCTGGGAAGCCCCGGTGACTCAGCTGAGTCCAGGGCTGAGAAGTGACACTGAGGTTCCCGTGCCTAGCCATTGGCTGGCACCCACCTCAGGCTGACCTGTGCTGAAAGCCGGTGGCTCACGCCTGTAGTAATCCTAGCTCTGTGGGAGGCTGAGATCAGGAGGATCAAGGCTCAAAGCCAGCCTGGGCAAGTATTTGGAAAGATCCCATCTCCAAAATAACCAGAGTAAAATGGGCTGGAGGCGTGGCTCAAGCAGTAGAGCGCCTGCTTTGCAAGCCCAAAGCCCTGAGTTTAAACCCCAGTCCACAAAATAAAAGTCCCCAAAGGGACGTCACAGTGACTCAGAGTCAGACAAGGGCTCCCACCTCCTCCCAGACGGTGCTTTCAGTTGGAATTCACCCAACTGAGTCAGAGGTTTTCGGATCAACCTTCCCAAAATCAACACTTCAGTGAAGCTGCCGGCAGCAGGATGTCCGTTTCTCCAGGACACTCAGTGCACGTGTCTAGTGGCCTCACTAAAGCCTCAGATTAGCCTGGAAAGTACCTGAGCAAAACACCCTGTTGGGACGACAGTCTCAGTCTGGCCCACCATAGGACCCGGGCAAGGGGCATCCAGCTGGCCTGTTTCATTGTCAGCTACGGCAGGCCAGGCTGCTGCCACAGTGAGCCCAAATGCTGGCTTCCGAGATGGCAGCAGCTCTGGCTCCTGCTGGTTTTAGGCCTGGACTCTGCACATGGAGCATGCACCCCTCCCTTGCAACATCACCTAGCTTTGCCTCAGTGTCCTCATGTGCCCCAACACTTGCCCTCCATCCTCAGTCTGCCTTCCCATCCTCAGTTGAGGCAAAGAGGCCAAAGTGCCATCTCCCCCCAGGTGCTTGGGGGCCGGGGAGGGTACCCAGTGTCCCGTTAGAAGTCTCTGGAAGGATGAGCTTTGCCTCACAGCTGACCCTCCGCACTGAGAACACAAGTGGGCTCTGGGTGACCACATGAATGCTAAGCAGGCATAGGGGTGTGTGGTTCCACTGTACCTACCTCCGCACGGCTCTTCTCCCCGACGTCCCCCTGCGCCTGCTGTCGCTCATCCAGACACTTGGCCAGATGCTGGCACATGTGGGCAGTGGCAGCTAGTGTCCTGCGCAGCTGGTGGGTCTCGTCGGCCAAGGAGCGGCACAGGATGTCGCTTGCAGCCCGGGCTCGTTCTTTCTCTGCCACACTCCTCCGAAGCAGAAGGACTTCCTTCTCTCGCTCATGCTGAGTCTGATTCATTAGCTGCTGCACCTCCCTCTCTTTCTCTTCCAGTCGCTCAGTAAGCCTCTCGATTTCCTAAAGAGAAGACTTAAAAGCAGTTTAGCCAGGCATGGTGGTGTATGTACACTTGTAATCCCAGCATTTGGGAGGCCGGCCTGGGCTACATAGCAAAAAGTATTAGTAGTTTAAAAATTTAAAAAATAGCCCAGGCGAAGAGCTAATGCCTGTAATTCCAGCTACTAAGGAGGCAAAGATTGGGAGGATTGTGGTTTGAGGCCAGCCCAGGCAAAAAGTTAGTGAGACCCTATATCCACAAAAAAGACAGGCACAGTGGCAGGTGCCAGTGATCCCGGCTACCTGGGAGCATAGGTAGGAGAACTGCAGTCAGAGCCCAGGTCCTGGGCAAAAGTGTGAGACCTTGAAAAATAATCTTAAGCAGGCAGGGCTGAGTGTGTGGCTCAATTGGTAGACACCTGCCTAGTATGTACAGGCTCTGAGTTCAAACCCCAGTACCACCCTAAAGAAAACAAAAGGCCTTAAAAATGACAATTTTGTGTTGTTTGTTTGAGACAAGGTCTCTCTACGCTGTCCAAATGGTCTGAACTCCTGAACTCAAGCAATCCTCCTACCTCGGCTGAGTGCTGGGACTATAGGTGTGGACCACTATGCCCAGCCATATGACCATTTCTTAAATACCTGGCCTTAAACATGCGCTTTCCCATTTTCAAAGGACCCTCCGACATGATCAGTACATGTGGGAGGTGAAGCGGGCTCAGCTAACCCACCCTACAAGTGAAGAAATAGCTTTGGGAAAGTGAGGGTGGCCCTGAGCATCTCCCAGGAGCAGGTGGCAGAAGGATCTGACCTGTTCCTGGGTCATGTACCTGCTCACTTCCCACCCAACGTGAGGAGAAACAGACAAGAACCCAGGACTGTGTCATTTGCAGGGAGACCATGCTACTGAGGCAATCCTGAATTGTTATTCTAAATCATAAAACCATGGGCACTGTTAAGAAAAAAATTCAAATATACAAAAGGAAATAAAGTGAAAAACTTAAGTTTTCCCCTCTCCTCACAGCCTCCCTGTCCCCTTCACTCTCCTGAGACAACCACGCATCTTTTAATATCTATAAGCATCTGAACTGAAACACGAGTATTTTTACACAAATGGATTACACAGCAACTGTTCATCTTGATTTTTCTGTCTTAGTAATATATCTTATTCCATAGTAGCAGAGACAAACCTGCCCCACCTCAAAAGAGAAAAAATAATTGATCAGCCAGCCATGGTGCCTCACACCTGTAATCCCAGCACTTGGGAAGCAAAGACAAGAGACTAGAGTTTGAGCCCAGCCTGGGCTACACAGCAAGTTCAAGGTCAGCCTGAACTGCACAGTGAGACCCTGTCTCAAAACACAAGGGATGGGGAGGTGCTTGCCTAGCATGTGCAAGGCCCTGGGTTTGACTGTCAACATTGCAACATAACAACAGTAATAATGATGAAATAATAGGTGGAGTCCAAGGCCAGGCATCAGCCCCACCCTGTCTCGTGACACTCCCAGCCTGACTGCGTCACTCTACACAGGTGACTCCAAGAACACTGTGGAATTCTCTTGGGGCATTTTAAGAGCTTCTCCTTTCTACCTTCTGTGGAATGAAATCTCCAGTTAGGATGGTCAGGTGAAGAAGAGTCAGGACTGGTGACCACAGGTGTGACAGTGAAAACAGGACACCTTGCTGGACACAAGCATAAACTGGGACTTTTGCTCACACTTGTTCTGCATCTGCCTTCTGCATCAGTCACATCTGTGCTACTCTCTGACCTGACAGATGCAAGCAGTCTCGGTGCTACCCTTTCCCGGCCAGGGGAGATCCAATTCTTCTGAATCCATTACTTTCATCTTCCTGCTTGATGACCCTGATGACCTTGCATGAGTAGAGACAGACCTTTCGGTACTAAAGGAAGAAAAGAGTCCTGTCGCTGGCTGGGCCTCAATTCTTTTGAAGAGCAGAGGGGCTCCAGGCTCCAGGTCAAGCGTGGTACACTCCCCGGGGCCACAACCACAGGAGTTTCAACCCAGGCTGCAGGCCAGGACACCGCCCCGCATACAGAGGCACACAGCAGGACATCTGCCCAGATGGGAACCACGTAAAACACCAGGACTAGAAAAACAGTGTCAAACCCAGTCAGCTCAGGTTCTCACCATAGGTCATTTCCACAGCACTGACCCCAAAGCCAAGAGCACAGGTATGGTTCTTGGCCGTGAATTTGTTCCCTTTAAAAACTGACCACTTGTGCTGGTGGACTGGCTCAAGCAGTAGAGCACCTGCCTAGCAAGGGTGAAACCCTGAGTTCAAGACCTAGTACCGCAAAAAAGAAAAAGAAAAGTGGCCAGAAAAACTGACCACTTTTGAAGGCATTACAAGCTGGTTGGAAAAAAAACAGCTTTTGAATGTCAGTTTACAAATAACTGGAGACTTCCCCACTGAAGCAAGGGTAGAACTGCAGGGAGGCCCTTGTGCGTGCAGAGTAGCCCTGCAAAGGGCTGCCTGACTCCTCCCCCCAGTTGCAAAAAGACCTCTGGAGCCACTGTGCTTTCAGCACTTGCTGGCTCTGAAGCTGGAGGGATTTATACTGATCACCTGGCCAAGTGCTCTGTTCAGTCAGTGACAGTTCCTAGGATGTAGCCAGGCCATCTAGAGCCGCAGCCTCACATGTACAGGCACAGCACAAGCAAGTGGGTGGCTGGCCTGACATCTCTTGGGAAGCCTGCCACTGGGACCCACAGCTCCATGGCTCTGTGCCCAGGACACAAAAGTGTGAAAAACCATGTAAATATTCGTGTGGACCTACTCAAAAATAGAAGCCTAGCCTCCTGGTCCTGTCTCTGGAGTAGTTTGCTAGGCAGCTGTAACAGAGTGCCAGAAACTGACTGGGTCAGTTCTGGAAACCAGAAGTCTAAACTCCATGTGTGGATGGACCACACCCCTTCCAGACTCAAGAATAACCCTTCCTGTCCCTTCCACTTCCAGGGGCTTCAGCAGTGTTCACATGGAAGCCTTGTTACTCCAGTCTCTGCCTGTGTATCTCCATACAGCCATTGTGTAAGGACAGCAGTCATTGGATTGGGAGCCATTGGAAGCCAGTGTGACCCATTTTAACTTATTTCATCTGCAAAAAGACCCATTTCCAAACAAAGACAACATTCCGGGTTCTGGGAGGGCATGAATTTTGGGAAACCCAGTTCAATCGAAAACTGTTCCCTTTCTCTCTCTGGTGCTGCACCCAGCTCATGGCTGTCTCTACACAGGCTCGCTGAACTCTGGCTGTACACACAGCAGCAAGATAGGCCCTGAGGAATGGGGGTAAGGAAGACTCCCTGAGCCGCTCAGCTTGCTGGGGAAGAAGGCAGATGGTAAGGGCAAGCACTAATGCGCCTATCATAAAGGCTGTCCGCTATTTCTCCAGACACAATGTGCAGAGCAGGGAAAGAGAAATGAGAAGGAAAAGGAGGCTGAAAGGCCAGGTCCAGACAGGACCTGAAGGGTCCTGTGGTGGTGGTGGGATGAGAAATGTGCACCATTATCCCAGAGCATCTTCACTGGACTTTTGCAGTGTCACTACCCAGGCTCACACTGCGGATGAGACGGTCTCAGTTTTACTGTGGCTGTGGCTCATAGTTCTCTGGCCCTGTCACACGCTGGCCACAGCCCAGCCACAGAGGCACTGCTCAGTCCCTCCACATCTCTCAGCCTCAGTATCCTCTCTGGGAGGCCTCAGTCCTCAGTGGTCCAGAGGCCCTGCTCTAAGAGTTGGCTGGCATGGCCATCAATTATTGGGAATCTTCTTTTTTCTGGGGGGGGGTAATTTTGAACCCAGGACCTTGAGCTTGATAGGCGCTCTACCACTTGAGCCACTCCACCAGCCCCAGTATGGCCATCAGTAAAAGTAAACCACCACCCATTTGTTTCTCCTGTGTTTTTTTGTGGTACTGGGGTTTAAACTGAGGGCCTTCACCTTGAGCCACTCCACCAGCCCTTTTTTGTGAAGGGTTTTTTCGAGATAGGATCTTGTGGAACTATTTGCCTGGGCTGGCCTTGAACCTTAATCCTCCTGGACTTTGCTACCTGAGTAGCTGGGATTATAGGCATGAGCCACCAGCACCTGGTTCTCCTGCAGTTTTAGCTCTGCCCTATAACCTCAGTGGATGCAGAGCTTCTGGGAGGGGATAAACTTACCTCTCTGTTCTTCCACAGGTTCTATGATTGACCCGAGGCTGAATTTGGGGTGAATGATAAACATATAATTGCATAAGACCCCAGATCATTAAAATGCTAATTGCAGCCGGGCACCAGGGACTATGCCTGTAACTTAGCTATTCAGGAGGCAGAGCTCAGGAGGATCAAGGTTTGAGGTCAGCCTGGGCAAACAGTTCTCGAGACCTATCTCGAAAAATACTCAACACACAAAAAAGTGCCAGTGGAGTGGCTCTAAATGGTAAGAGTGCCTGCCTAGCAAGCATGAGGCCCTGAGTTCAAACCCCAGTGCAGCCAAATAAACAAACACACAAATAGCAGGCATACACCTTGTGTGTGTGCCTCCTAACCATGTCCTTGACCACCTCGGGACTCTGCCAGCAAGAAGCCCACCATTAGATTTGGCCTTTCAACTTCTCACCTCTAAAAACATTTTCTGTTTTCCCCATAGCACTCTTCTTTTTTTTTTTTTTTGGGGGGGGGTTGGGAGGGAGAGGGGCTTGCTGGGGATAGAGCCCTGGGTCTTGTCCATACTAGGTGCTACAACTGAGCTCCGACTCCAGTCCCTCCCCTGGTCCTCTTCATACCACCTCTAGTATGTGCTGCCCACCTTCAGTTTAATCTCCTCCACCAATTTTTGATCCAAGGTTATCAATAACCTTGGAACTGGTTTGTGAGTGTGTGGGGGGGAGGGGTATATGTTGTGTGATGTTGGGGCTTGAACCCAGGGCCTCGGACTTGCAAGGCAATCACTATGTCACAGAGCTCCATCCCCAGCCCAGAACCCATTCTCCCTAGTCCTAGCTATTACGGGAGTCTGAAGCAGAGAATGAAAAAGTTGCATTTGGTCTAACACATCCCACTGACCCATCGGGAACCATTCAAGGTGCGGTCCCATCATTTATTTTATAGGGACTAGATTCTGGGCCATAACTGGACTCTTCTGTCACATGTAAAGGGTCGGGGTGGGTTTTCTCACTGTCTGCAGCTCAGGGTGAACACAGGCGTACTGTCTGCCTGGACGCTGACCCCTACAGAGCCCGCTGCACGGCAGCACCTGCTGGGAGTTTGCTTCTTTATGCTGACCTTGACCTCCAGAGGCCCTTCCGCATCGGAGACCCCCCGGCGATTATGGAAATGCTATGTTGCTTGGTGTTCCTAATGCTACAGATTTGGTCACCCGAAGCCTCGTGTCCCTTCCTTCTTTCCTTGATTTTTCAGAGAGCTGTGAGAATTCTCCCAAACGTTTGGGGTCTTCCACACAAGAGCAGCACCGTCACTCTACTTCTGACCACCAGCGACACGGAGAGGAGAAAGTCACCGGACACCGCGGGCACGGGCCTCACCTCCAGCATAAGGCTGAAGAGCCACTAGCCAAGGACACCAGGTGAGGACTGCACGGAACCCCACAACACAACACGGGTCCACCGCCCAGGACCCCCGCACTCACTGTCCACACATGTCCCCTGGAAACCCCCAAAGCGCAACGCCCGCCCGCGCCCCCACAGCCCCCCGCGTCACCTGGCGCAGCTGGGCCTGGGCGGCGCCGCCCTCCTGGCGCCGCAGCTGCTCCCGGAAGCGCGCCACCTGCTCCAGCAGCGCGTCCACGAGCGACGGCGCCGTGTCCCCTTCGAGCGCCGCCAGGCGGGCGCGCAGACGCGCGATGAGGGCGTCGCGGGTGGCCAGCTGGTCCTGAAGGCACCGCAGCTGCTGACCGGCCTCGTGGTACAGGCCACAGAGCGTGGCGGCCCCGTCCCGTCCACGCGACCCCAAGTCCCGGGACGACATGGCCGCGAGCCTGCCCAGGGACGGGGCGCGGGGCAGCAGCCGGCGACTTCCTCGCGCCGCCCGCGGTCCAGCCGGCCTTCCCGGAACTCTTCCCGGCCCTGCTCACCGCCGGCCCCGCCCACCGCCGAGAGTCCCCGCCCCCGGAGCCAGCCCCGCCCACTGCCGGGAGCCAGGCTCCGCCCCCGCCCACCGTCAGCCCCGCCCCCCGCCGAGTCCCCACCCGCTGCCGGGAGCCAGACTCCGCCCCCGCCCGCAACAGGCCCTGTCCACGGCGCAGCCGACCCCGCCCCTGTCGCAAGCCCCGCCCCTCCCATCCTGACAGTCTCGCCCGGTCCCTGTGAAAAGTCTCCTGGCTTCTCTGCGCACCTCGCAAGGCTCATTCCAGCTGCCCTGCTCCCGCATCTGCAGAGTTGTGGGGGAATGAGACCAGGTCAGTGGCCAGGGATTGGGGTCCATCAGCCTCCGGTGCAGCTACTGATGGGAGGCAAAGGAGTCAAACGACCTCCATGTATTGGACCTGACTCCACCCGCTGAGCCGCAAACCACTTTTCAAGTGCTGACCTCCCACATCGAGGAGGAGCGAGGCCCTAGCCCTGGCCCGTAAGGTTGCAAGTATGGGCGGGACGACCTTAGTGCTCGAAGCTGTTTTTTGTTTGTTTGTTTGTTTGTTTCGGTATTGGGGCTTGAACTCAGGACCTACACCTTGAGCCACTCCACCAGCCCTTTTTTGTGAATGGTTTTGTCGAGAACTGTGAGCTGACCTCAAACCGCGATCCTCCTGATCTCAGCCTCCTGAGTAGCTAGGATTACAGGCGTGAGCCGCCAGCACCCAGCTGTTCCTGGAGCATAGGGCACAAGGGAGCTGGCTCTCTCCCACCCTCTTTCTCCATCCCCCTCCTTTTCCCATGGCTGAGTCTCCACACAGTGATCCCCAGCTCACTGGGGCTCTGTGCTAGGGGTCTGGTGGGGTATCTTCCATGGGTGTGGGTGTGGGGAGGGGTGTCCTCCTCCCCTCCTCCACCCAGTTCCCTGGGTACAGGCAGCCATCTTGACTTTTCCCCTTAGTGTGATCCACAGTTAAGCTTGGGCTGAGCCTGTAAAACACAAACTTTTAGTATCAGACTACAACCAAAGCAGCCCTAGCCAAGTGTTTATGGAATGGGTTTGGGAGTGGGGCAGCCCTGGCTCTCCTATGGAAGACTCTTTCATACCCATCAAAGCCAGACTTCCTTTAGGGGGGCGGGGATCAGAGAAGGTGCTGTGGGAACTAGAGAATGGGAGGCATATGAAATGATTGCCCAGCCCGGTCCTGGTGGCTAAGGCATATGGAATTCTGATGGGCTGAGGCAGTAATGGGAAAACAGAGGCACCTGGATCCCGATCTGTTAGGGTGGGCTTAGACTACTGCTATTGCCGTAACAGGGGCAGGTCATCCGAGGGCCCTTAAGCCAGTTTCTCAACTGCAGAATAGGCTTCAAACAATCCACAGGCTCTCATCCAACACTCACCAGGCCTTATGTGCTTTGGAGAGCAGAATCTTTGGATTCTAGCTAGGTATGTACAATTAAGATAGCCAGATTCCAAAAAGGATCCCCTCTTTCCAACATCTACACTCCTGTGCAGTCCTGTCAAAAATATCAGATGAGGCCTGACTTGTGTAGCCAAGAGGACACTGCTGGAATGATGGGGTGTGACTTCTACAGTGAGGTCCTGAGAGAGTCATGGTTTACTGCCTTGCCCAACTTGCCACTATGGTGGAGTAGCCACCTTGGAACAGGATCCTCTGGCCCCAGTGAGGCTTTCTTTGTTTTGTTTTGTTTTGTTTTTGCAGTACTGGGGTTTGAACTCAGGGTCTACACTTTGAGCCACTCCACCAGCCTGTTTTTGTGATTTTTTTTTTTTTTCAAGATGGGGTCTCATGAACTGTTTTGCCTGAGCTGGCTTCAAACCACGGTCCTCCCTCCTGAGTAGCTAGGATCACAGGCCTGAGCCACCAGCACCCAGTGAAACCTTTGAAGGCTGCAGTCCCAGCCACACTGACTCCAACCCCAGAGGATACCCCAAGCCAAACCTCCAGCTAAACTGCTCCCGAGCTCCTGGCCAACGGAAGCTGTGCGAGAAAACAAACGCTCAGTGTTGTTGTAAGCTGCTAACACTTGGGACCCACAGCGACAGAGTACAAACAACTGAAATACGACCTAGGGCCCTCACTGGGACATGGTAGAGCACCCCAAAACCAGATACATCAAAGTTTCTGCAAAGACAGTGCAGCGACCATTCAAGCATGGTAAGACAAGGTTTGAGTCAGATATTGCACCAGCTTTAAGAAAAACATTTTGGATTTCTGAGCTTTGGGGATTTCAGAATTGTAAATGAGGGATTGCAAAAATCGCCTCCCTTCTAGGGAGTTATGCCTTTGACTTAAATTCAGCTGTTGGATCAGGCCGTGGGAATTCACAGGAAAACATATAATGGCAGAAATGGGAACTCCTCTTCAAGTAAGAATAGCTGCCAGTTAAGGAAACATTGTTTAAGGAAAGTAAGAAGAAAAATTGTGTAAGGAAGCACACAAGGAAGGAGGAGAAATAGAGGAACCTGCCTCAAAGAGTGCAACTAGATGAGCTGGCCATGGCAGCACATGCCTGGAATCCCAGCACTAGGAAAGCTGAGGAAGGAGAATCTTGAGTTCAAGGCCACCTTGGGTTACATAGAGATACCCTGACTCAGAAAAGAAAGGGCTGGGAATTAGGAGATGACATCTCTGCTGCAATGTGTGGGATGAGAAGGAGTCAAGCACTTGAGTTCCCGGGAGAGGGAGCCTGTGCAAAGAAAGGTGATCCAGGGGGTGAGTGTGGCTGGAGGGGAGGTGGGGTGAGGGCAGAGCAAGAGGCTCCAGGCCCTCCATAGAGGCTGGGTTTCATTCCCAGAGCACTGAGGAGCCTTGGGACTTGAGACAGGTGACCAGGTGGAGCTAGCGGAGGTGGATAGGCCAGTGCCCCAACTCTGGTTTATCTGCTGATAGTAAGCTGCCAGTCTGAGTTCTCCGAAGGACTACTTCCTCTGGCCTTTCACTTCAGGACCCTTGGGGACCTGTACCTTTGCCTACCATCCCCCCCTTCTATCTCAATGCTGAGACTGCAGTCCTTGCCCTGTGACCACACACACACACACACACACACACACACACACTCTGCTGTACTTTCACCACCCACAGAGCCAGAGAGCCTCCATTCCTCAAGGGTGGATAGGGGCCTTCCGGGTGAATGTCCACAAGGGGGCAATGTGCCCTCACAGGCTTGGGGACCAGAACCTCAGGCAGGACTCCAGTGTGCACCAATCACACCTGTCCCACCACTTAGCACACAGCCTAGGGGTCTCTTCCCTGAACCTGAGGCGCCCGGGACCCCATCACTGAACACTAGATACCTATGCATCATGACAAGTGTGCCTCTGTCCACACACTGCCTCCCACCCCCACAGGAGTGTCCAGGTGGGCGAGAGAGCAGCGCTCATGGGTCCCTGACCACAGTGGGGTCCTTGGGAGAGCGAGTCAGTGTTAATTCATCTTCATAATAATGACCCTTGTCCTTCCCCCTGCTCAGACCCTCTTCTGGCCTTCCTCTGACCTCTGCTTTCCCTATGGGGCGAAGGGGGTAGACATAGCCTAGGGAATGTGCCCACCAGACCCTGTGCCCCATGTGTAGACCACACTTTCGGGCCAGGTCCCCAGCTCTGTCCTGCTGAGGGCAGGACACACTACTGGTATGTGTAGCCCTCGTATGCTCAGTGGCGGGCCAGGGTAGACACCTGTAAGGGAGAGGCTCCAGGTGTAGGAACAAGGGCCAGAACCCAACTCCAGCCATGTTTAGATCTACACAAAGAACTCAGGCGAGTCCAAGACAGCGAGTCCAGATTGGGCCTTCCAGGATGCTGCAAGGTTACGGAACAGGAAGAGAGCTTGTTTAATTCGCGCAGCTCTGGCATATTGCAGACGCCAGTCTATGTGGTAGACATTCGTACACACGGTACATGCTGCTGAGATTGCATCTGACCCTTCCTCCCCAGCTGTGATGCTCTCTTTGTGGTGCTAGGGATTGAGCCCAGGGCCTCAGGCATGCTAGGCAAGCGCCCTTCCTCTTGAGCCAGGCCCCAGCCCTTTCCCTTCCTTGAGGATGCCTCAGAGAACATCCCGACGATGTTTTTGCTCTCCTGACTCAGTCATTGCTGAACTAAGGGGGATAAAAGAGTATGAGAAATTCCTGCCCAGTCCTGACGGGCCCCGCTCTGTCTCACTGGTTGAATGGTTTTGGAACCTTCTGGCGGGCTAAGAGAGGTGGTGGCACTAGGACAGGAATCCAGCGCTGTGGAGCAAGAGGTCTGAGCAGACTTGAAGAAGGTCAGGGAGTGAAGTGTGTAGATTTCTGCGGAAGACTGTTCCAAGCAGAGGGAACAGCTCACGGGGAGGCCCAGAGGCAGTGATGTGCCTGTGGGTGCAGAGAGCAAGGGGCTCATGTATGGCTGGAGCAGAGGGAGAGAGGGAGAGAAGCAGATGGGAGAGCAGAGAGGAAATAGGGCCACATGGCCCCACAGTTGTAGCCATGGAGATGGTGAGACCCCACCAGACTGTGGGGGGAGGGGACTGCTGAAGGTGAGTCTACAAAACTTCCTAATAGAAAGTCTTCCTGTTAGGCCATGTATATGGTCAGAAATGTCCATATCCTAATGACCCAAAGTAGTAAACACATTACCTTGCATGGCAAGGGGGAACAAAGGCTGTAACTAACCCTAAAACAGGGAGTGGGTCCTGGATTAGTAGGGGGCCCTACTGTGATCTCAAGGGTCCTTACAGTGGAAGAGGGAGGCAGAAGTGGAGGCCAGAGTGATGTCAAGTAGAAAGGACGTGACCTGCCCTTTCCGATTTTGAGGGAGGAGGAGGAGACACAAGCCAAGGAAGGCTGGCTGCCTCTAGATCTGGAGAAGGCAAGGAGTGGCTTTTCCCCAGCGCCTCAGAGCGAGTTCAGCCTGACCAATGCCTCCACTGTAGCGCAGAGAGGCCCTTG